GTTAAACTTGGGATATGGCTTTTTTCTTCCGAAAACGCAATTGTCTATTTTTAGGTGAAAATGAAGCCTCTTAAACACTATGTCTCCTTTTTTACTTTCCATCTTTTTATTCAGGATAACACGGAAAATTAAGGGTGTAAAGAAAAAACAGTTTTCAATATTTTTTTAGTTGAAAAGTCGTCAAAATAAGGACTTGTTCAGGCTCGGATCTATAATAAATACTGACCAAGTTCCTAAACAAGCACCGAAAGCTCAAGCTTCTATTGTGGTCCAGGCGCGTGCTTCCCCGGGAAATTTTTTGCATTTTAACTCCCCAAAGTCCCTTTTGCTAGCATAGGTTTCTTAGTCATTCAGACAATATATTTACTGACTGTTGAAACCATTTTTTAGATTTCAACTCAGTGGAAAAGGTTTTTTAAAAATTACAAAATTATTCATTATGAGAAATCGCACCGATTTCCGTAAAACGGTGGAAACTAGTGTGGATCCGCCCAATGTTCTGTGGTTCTGGCTTGTTAAAAAGGCCGTGTTGTATTGTAGTGTACTTGAAGGTTTTAGGAGTGAACACTTGGTTTCTTTGCAAATTGCCTAGTCCTGACGATCGACTTTATTCTGGGTGTTCTGGTGTTGAGTAACGGCAACTTCTTGCTGTTGATAGTTGATATCCGATTGATGTTGTTCCATCCCTTTTTGTGTCTGAGACTAGAAGGGCGACCTGGCTTGTGCCTTCCTCATCTCCTGATTGTTGTATGTTTTTAATGTCATTCTATGCAGCATCATTCACCTCACCTCTGCCGCCATCTTCACCACCTTAGGAAACGAGGTTTTCCTTTAGTCACTCATGTTAAATTCCCGCTCCAGTCTTCTCCCTAATGAAAATGCGTATGCGCTGTTAAATCCCCGCTCATGACATGGTTAAACAGGGTTTTGTTAATTCCAATCCCCCTCCCCCCCGGACTAACACGTTGTTAAATGTGCGTTAAATCCTGGCTTTGGCCACATTAAACTCCTGCTATCCCATGCTATGCCCAGGGTCAAAAAATGACGTTAGACATGATTAGAAAGGTATGAACTGATGACACAACACGAAAATACAACAATATAACCGTTGTATAACTCCAGGAATGAATCTGAGATCTTGGCTATGGTAGCAGTCAAAGCTGGGGAGAGAAGAAATACGAGCTCCACTGAAAACGCCTGCGTGGGATGCTATACTCTGCCGGGCACTCAATCACTCGCTCAAAAATCATAGCGTGAACAGTTGACTATTATAGCCATGCCGTCTTACATTGTTCTCGGATTACAGTTGATCATGAAATATAATCTTTCGAAAGTAAACGAACTGCAGCACATCAAAACAAAGAAGACTAAAATGGTTCTTAATCGCCTTTTGCACAGTGTTTCAAAGTTTCTTTCCATGGCTTTGCATTCTGATTAAGTATCTTATCGGCCTAAAGAATCTTAAGCTATAAGCAATCAGATAAATCCAAGACAAAGCAGAAGTATTTTGCCGCGTTCACGACCGATTACCGGCGACAGCTATATCCTCCGAGCTCTGATTGGTTTATTTGCTTGTTAGTTTGCTCTTGTTGTTTTTGGCCAGAAACAGAAGCATATAACTCAGATATGAATAACGTTGGTCTTGTGTTACAACACTTCAACAATATTTGAAAATCATTCTAAAATTAGTACTCATGTTGTATCCCTTATTTTGACTTTTATGTTTTACAGAAATGCTAAGAGCTGTTCCTGATTTGCCCTGCGTTGATGACGCAGAGCCTTTTTTTTGCGACTTTGAAATCATAATGAACGAAGCATGTACAGACCAATCACGAAAGTTTCTAATGATGGATCGTTGCAGATATTCATGCAATTTTTGTAAGTATTGCTTGTTACGCATTTGTACGCGGGAGATATTCTTGCTGAAAGCGGCCTTGACATTAGAGAAACTATCGTTATGAACTGAACACGATAACAGCGCATCTTTTGGACGACTGCTAGACATCGATATCAGGTGTAAATACACTAATTATCAAAATTTTCAATATTTTTTCGAATACTTTCACTGTGACTTTTTAAATGTTTGAAAATAACTACCATTTCCAATTGACTGACGCATAATCCGTCTCAGACAAAAAAGGTGGGCCCGTGGGGGGTGAGCGACACCCATTTGGCCGCACACCTCCAGTTATTTGGCATTTCCCCTTCCCTAATCTCGTACCCAAATCTCTTGTCAGCTTCGTCATTAAGAGGTTTGGGTACAAGATTATCCTCTCTCCTTGACGTTGTCGCGCAGTCACTTACGCTTACTGTTAAACTCGAATTTTCTTGTCTTTTTCAGGTTAAAAGAATCGTTATAGGTCATCTAATGTGGAATTCAAAGCGTGGAGAATTATCACTTCTGTGAAACGACTGAAGACAAACAGAATCCACCTTATCTTATTGACGCATTTGCTCCTTCGTGAAGTGTCAGTTTATCGGCTGTTTGAAGATCGCTTCGCAAAGAAAAAGCATTTGCAAGATTGACTCAAAGAAAGCATTTTGTTGTGTCTTGCTCGAGTCATTCTTTCAGTTTTGCCGTTCCATATTCAATAAATTAGTGTCATTTCAAAGTTCAAGCGAATCCCCTGATTACTTTAATAACTTTGTTTTTTTTTTCTAGTCGTTGCGCTTAATAATGCCTTAATCAACAGTTGAACAGAGTAATGATCTATGAATAGAAAGCATGTCTTAGCGTTTATTATCATTCTCACTGCAAATTCCCCATTGCTTGCAACTTGCAAGCACTGCATGTTCGGGTTTGAATTCAGCCAGAGGTAAAACCCATGGATGATTTGGAAAAGAATTTCGATTAAGGGCGTGCTATATGTTTAAATTACTCCAACATTATGATGTACGTTTTGTTTGTAAAAAGAGTCCTTTCCAGGTCTGAATGGTGTCCCTTCTGGTAGGAAACGACCATGTGTTTTCTAGTGTTCATTTTATTTTAAAATCTTGCTCCTTCCCTTCTCAAGAAACGTATCCTCCTCCACCAAACAATGGGCAAAATGTCAGTAAAATGTTCTAAACAATTTCTGCCTTCCTCAGGGGTTAGGAGAGAGGAGATTTGCTTCTTTCTCCCCCTTTTTCCCCAGAAACGCTTGATACTCAGGCTCCCCTGAGGGGTACTCTAAGCTATATAGGTATGTGCTGCCCCAAAGGGTATGATTTTTGCGCCGTTTGGGTCTGAAAACGGATATAGACTTTACTCATTTTAATTTGGTGTGGAATCGAGTATTGTTTTCGAGGGAACTACAGGAGTGAATGAACGTATTTATCGCTTCAATTCCAAATAAACAAGAAAGAAAAATCAATATGCGAATTCGAAATGGATTTTAAGAAATCTTTTTGTTAGCATTCTAATTTAAGTAACTGATTGCATAATTTCATAGAAGCCAAGCCTCAGTTAGTCTGCTACACAGCCGTTTTTAGAGTCGTCACGCAACGCTCCTCTTGTGGGGAGGAGCGTTGCGTGACGACACTAAAAACGGCTGTGTAGCAGACTAAGCCTCAGTGAAAATGGGGTATGGATTTTATAGGCCAGGCTCCGGTTGTTCAAACGTTGAATAGCGCTATCCACCGGATAAATCACCATCCAGCGCATGATCCAGCGGATAAGTATTTGGGAAACCAATTACGCTATCCACTGGATAGAGATCTATCCATTGGATAGCACTATCCACCTTTTGAACAACTGGGGTCAGATCTGAAAACGGGTGTGGAAAATGACATTTTTTTGGTCTGAAATCGAGTCAGGATTTTTAGAACCGGGCGGCACACCCACAACAATAATTCCTAGGAATACCCCCCCCCCGGCTCCAGCTACGTCTTGTTCGCACAACTCTAGTGACGACAACTATCAGCTAGAGGCTACAGGGCTCCCGGGAGGCTTCATGGTGGCTACGCAGCTACAGCAATAGGGGAAATGGGTTAGTTACAGTCAAGCGGCCAATTCATCTTGCACGAGCAACGCTCCTGACGTTGTAGCCCTGGGGGGGCCGGGGTTGTAGCCCACTTACTTACATAACTACGCAGTCGTCTTTTTACGTTTTACTCCTACTTTCAGGCTGAGAGAAAGACAAAGACATTAAACAAACATTTGTGAGTGCTCTCTCAGGTGAATCAACTCCGGGTTTCCGGCAACAGTTTCAGGCAAAATGACATTCTTTGGGTGGCTTGACCAGTTTCAGGGGCCCCCAACAGCTATTTTCGGAAGAATATCTGTTCGGAAGACGATTGGAGATCTAGGATTTTCGAAACATTTATTGTAAAATTTCTTGCTTGCCTGCCTCTCCTAGGATTTTCGAACATCTAAAAAATGGTATAATTGCCTATTTTTAACGGATTTTTACCCTAGAAAGGTCACCTAGAATTTTCGGGAGCCTTTTTTCTGGCTGAAATTTTCGAAAAGGTAAGTTTTGATCTCTATAATTTTCGGATCACTAGACTTTCAGCTAGGAAATCCGAACAGATGAAAAATTTTTAGGGGATAAAAATATGCCTATATCTACCGTTTAAATACTAAAATACGTTTAACAATGCTATATTCTCGTTGGGTGCCCCTGCAGTTTCCAGTATATGGCATACCTAAGCTTGATCTTCGGCTGCTTTCTCGGATCCAGTCTTGTTTCTCTCGCCCTTTCCCCTACCCCATTCAACGCCTACTACGCAGGCTAACAAAAGGAAATCTAGAGAGAGAAAACCGTTTACCATAAAACCCATAAAATGACCATAAGTCGGCTCGGGAACCGCAGAGAAAAGAAGCGCACAAAGTATAATGTGAGGTTAAATCGTTTTCTCCCTGACAAATCCTCATATTTCGAAGGTTATGCAACAATGCCGATGCTCTTATTTCGAGCTTGAGTTACCTGGAAGAGATATATGCCATGCTTGATTTGTTACAAGTCCATTGTCCGGGATTGAACATTTCCAATGAAAGTTATGATTGGCAGCTGGTCCCAAGAGACTTTGTTGTCATGGCGCGTAGAGGCGCAATGAAAAGGTACCTTGTTGTTCTTTTCTCAGCTTGTTTGAGTGAATGTTTCAGTTAAAATGCACTTAAAGTACCCAAGAAAGAGGGATTTTTACACTTGGGAGGAATTACGGTAGGTTTTATTGCGGCAATTTTATTCTTTCCTTGAAATTTCTCCGACAATGCAATCCGAAACTCTACTTCGAACGAGCGCGTTCCTTGTGCACTCGTTCTGTGTTCTAATGACCATGCCGTTAGTGTTAATAATTGTTCGAAATGTCAGTCTTACTCTGTGCTTTTGTTTTTTTTCGCTTGCTTTCGTATAGGTGTCTTGCAAAAGCTCTAGGGGTAAGTGTTGTTAACGTTCTAAAGCATTCTGATTCATACATTGTTGTGAAATGCTGCGCTGTGCTTGTAACAGATTCCCTATCCCTAAACTATACTTTATTAAAGTTTAGGGATAGGGAATCTGTTAAAGCATTTTACAACAATTTTTACCTCGTTTAATTTAGCTGCCAGTCTGCAAGTCTGTCTAGCTGTCGTACACGTTTGTGAGGAAAGAGGTATTTGGAACTACCGGTACTTGCAAAGATATGACTCAGTGGGGGTTTATTAATTAAAGCTGTACCATTCTTCTGGAAACATTCGCTTGTTTCTAGCTCACATTTGCACTGGGATATTTGTCTCATCCATTTTCCAATTCCACAAAACTAACTAGTTTTTCCCTGCACATTATTAAAAGACCTCCATATGCCCCAGTCCATATTAAACCCTAGGGTAGGGGGGCCGAATGTCCCTGGGGCATTTGACTATATTTCCTTTCCCATGGGTAGTGGATAATTACAGATTTGACATAATGCAAGATCTCGAGGGTGTTTGACAAGATCTTGCAACTGCCTGGAGGTGAGGTATTGAATACCGTGCAATGGCAATATAATACAAAGCATGCGTTAGTTTTCCATTAACTGTGCCCCTGATCATGTGCACTAGTTTCGTTATCTGCTACATCACTGTTAGTTTGCCTTTGACCTGAGAACTCACCTTTGTTTTTACCCACCCTTTCCCCCATGTGGGCCGCATCAAGGGGGAATGGTCTCAGTCTTGCCTCCCCCTTGGTGCGGCTTTGCTTGTTTCGGCAAACAATAAAGATGATTTTGTCATATAATTCTAGGGGAAATGCCTCTACTCAAAGCGTGCGACATGACTAGACAAAACAAAATTTACCCCCGAGGAAGAGGTATTTGACATCAGTGTTTCCACCCTAATGTAAAAAATTAAATTTGATATGAAAATAGGCGGAAATGTCAACCTGTCCTGGGTACGTCTGATCCCCCTACCCTGAGGCTTAACAGTGACTGGTGCATATACTCAGTGGCCAAATTTAGCAAGAACAGCTATGAAAGTAATCATAATAAAGACCTCCCCACAGGTTAAATGGGATGCGGGCCCAGAAGGTTTTCTCCCTCTCACAGCAGTCTGACTTGTGTCAGGTTCTTGAAGGGTAGCCTTGGAATCTGAGATTTGACCGAAGTAAAGAGCAGATTTGGGGAAACGCAAAATGTCTTGACATGACGTGGGATTTCACTGGTCCTGGGGAAGCAGGATTCGCCAAAATCTTGACATGGGATGTGGTATTGGGAAAAATATGATTTTCAAGATAGAGCTGACAGAAGTTTGGGATGCGAGATTGTTGTGAAAAAGGAACTGGAATGCAGGATCAGAACCTTCCTTTCAGATTGATTACAGTTCTTGTTATTCAAATTTCTAAAAAAATATCACTTGCCCATCGGGCAAGTTAAAAACAGAATTCACTAGCCCGATAGCAAAATCCACTAGCCCCGGGCTATCGGACGCCACTTTCTTTGCACGCTGCTGCTTCATACCAGACTAACCAGTCAGAGATGCAGTGAGTGTACCTATAGGGTAAATGGAATTACATGTGCAATCAAAGAAATTTTCAATGAGACCAAAGCATTTCAGTTGTGTTTTGAACAGTAGTATGGTTACAAGTATGGAAACAAGAATTTTGGCAAATGGAACCGTGAGAAAGTTTCAGGTAGATACATGGACACACGGACTGAACAGTACTATATTTTCCATTTTTAAAAAACTGTCCAGGACTTATCCCAGATCTCAAGAAGATAGGTTGTACATGCCCTTGGTGTTCATGTTTACTGATGATATTAATATTCTGAGTAGCAGAAGAGTTTAACTACTGCAAAGTTTGTAAGAGTTCTCTTATCTTCTCTTATGTTTTTGCTTTGCAGTTTCGTAAAGATCTTTTTATCAAGAATGTTCTCCCAGAGTTTCAGAAGGAAAAGTCAAATGGGCTTAGTGTTAAGGTATGTAAAATGCACTGTGAGTGAGATGTTTGTGTTTCAGATTCATCCATCCAGTGTCAGGACCACTCAACAACTCATTGCTATGGTAAAGATGAAGGTAATATTCCATGGGGCTGTCAGTTGCCTGATTGACTATAATTATGAACCTGAATTCTGTCAATACACGTGAAATTCCATACTAGATTTTTCTTTTAAAAGTTATTTTGGAAGTTCACATTAGTGTTGCAGTTGAGAGGCTCTAAATAACCCTTGGGACTCTACCTAGACCTGTAGAATAGTTAAATAGTTTGCCTCCTATTTACTAGTCATCAGATGTGTTAAACTTGAATGTTGGTCTTGAGTGATAACAAAAATGGGTGGATTTTGTTTTGCAGATCCTTTCCAACATGTTGGATATCAAATGTTTACATGGTGATATTCATCGTACATACAACATACATGATGCTCTGTACAACTCTAGGGTCATAGAGAAAGCACTAGACATGCTGTCCAACAGATACTTAAGGTAAAGGCCAATTTTCTCAGATGTGTGTAGGTTATAATCTGCAAAATTGTACATGAGGAAATAGAAACTCTCAACAGTGTAGCAGTTCATGCAGTCCCAAGTTGGACATGCATATAAATCATCAGAAAATTTTCTTAAGAGGTTTTCTGCTTTTCTGTTTACTGGTAGGTTTGTTTATGGTGATTTCTAAGGCTTTGTTTTCTATTGTTTCTTTAAACAGCTTTAAGCAACTTTTTTCAGACCTCGCATACTTCTGTCATTTTCAGTTTTCAGGAATTGAGAGAAGTCCGTGTCGCTTTCCAGTTGTATGAGCATGAGGATATGCTAGGCTTAGTTATTGATGAACATGTTTTGCTAAGAACGTTAAAGGTAAGCTACATTTACATTTAAACTCTCATAGAAAACATAACATATGTTGTTATTGATGGTACATTAGCCTAAAAATGCAGACATACTCTAGCCTGTCTAACAAGTAACAGAAGTGAAAACAGGACATAGATGTACAGCTGTACAAATATGTATATTTGTGTTTCCAAGCTAATGAAGTTATATTCACTCGTTACAGATCTGTGGGAGGGCTGTTTCTCCAGTCAAGCTTAAGCAACATGTAAGTGGTTTAGAATCCACAAAATGGATGCTTTTATACGCTAAAATACTGCCATCCCAGTTTTTTTAAAGCTCTACAAGAATTCAGTGGAAAGTTGTGGAGTAAAATCTGTACATTCTCACTCTCTGATTTGACGCATTCTATTCCTTGAGTACTGCTTCTTAAGAGATACAAATTAGCTTTGTTCATAGAAGGGCTAAATGAATAACAGTGTGGTAACAATTGGCAGTGTGTATACGATAAGGAACAAGAGGTCTCACTCAGTTATAAACTTGTCTTTCTATTCTTGTCATTTTTTTATTCTAAAATTTTATTAAACTTCAGACAATACCAGACAGTTTAACCCTTTATGTCCCAAGAGTGACTGACCAACATCAATTTTCTCCTTACAACATCAATACATTATCAAGAGAAAAAGGTCAGAGAAGTAATAAAATGATCACCGAGAAAAATGATTTGATCTTTTATCAAATTTTCTCTACAAATTCTTTAAGGAAATGTACGGAGATCAGTCTGGAGAATTTGTATGTTGATATTGAGGTTTAAAGGGTTAAGTAGGAGTGAAAAAAACTGAATTCTAGCTTGCCCTTTCGGGCAAGCAACTCTCAAATTTTGCTTTCCTAGGGCCACTGTGTGCTCATTTTAGTTAATGATTAAATTGGTAGAGGACGACTTTCCTGGAAACTTTCCCACTGGGCAATTCGAATCATTATACATTTCTGGGAAACTGCCCATCTACCCCTCCCCTAAGCCAACATTAATTTGCTTCTAATAAGAAGTAAGTGTTAACGTTGGCTTAGGGGAGGGGGTAGGTGGGCAGTTTCCCAGAAACGTATAAAGATCCCTTTTTTCCACCCTGTTAAGTGTAAGGTGTCTACATGTAACAACTTCATCTTGTCTTAGTGCAATAATTCCTTTTTTCGTTAATAGATCAAGCACATGACAAGACAAGTACCCGATCGCCTCATGCTCTATGAATTCTTAGATCTGTTGCTTTTGTAAGTAGAACAGTTATTTGTTATTTTCAACAACTCAGAAAGTCTTTTGCTTCTTTACAAAACAGCTCCTAATATCAACACGTTCTGAGAAAACTGAAATATGACTTTCTAGCTGTTCTCTATCAATTTGTAAATTTTTTTTGTAAAGGGTTTAACAGCATTTACAACAATTTTTCATTTTGAGGTAGCTTAACCGAGTATCAGCAAACTGGACTTATGATCTTGAGGCCCTCTTTGACTGCTAGCCAGATATTTTCTCTTGGTTAAATCCGGCCTTCTGAGTTAAGGACCTTGATCATGTCTGTGTCGAATCAGTTGCTTGTCATTTACTACAGTTTATTTAAGGTTTTGAATTATGTTATGTTCAGTTTGGACAACCCTTCAAGTTTCGACCATTTTAGTTGCCATGGCACCTAAAATTTTGAAGCTGGTGACTTGATTTGTAAAAAAGTCTCCCTAAACCAAAAGAATTGGTCGCCAAATGGCGACCAAGCAAAAACCTCAACTTCGAGGGTTGTTGGATCGGTGCAGTTACAGTTGCAATTAAATGGAGTTAGCTAGGTTTTAGTTTTTTTTTCACTTTGCATGTTATTGAAAGGTGCAGTAGAGTGTAAACATATTAACGCAGGGCTTGCTGATAAATTATTTGTTTTGATAATTATTTTATTACAATGTAGGTGTGAACGCGATGCTGAAGTTCAACTGCAGCCTCTTCAGCAAGTCAATGGAGTTGATAAAAACAATCTTTTCAAGGTAAGTTTGCCATGCATTTACATGTGTTGTAGTTAATTTTTTATCTCAGGTTATATTGTTTTTGGGTATGGTAGAGGGATACTGATGAAGTTGAAACAAAGGAAAAATAATAATTACCTGAGATAAAAAACAAGACCCCCATAATGGGGGTACATTGGTCTGCCAGCTTGCCTGTGCCAAAATAATTGTCCCCCATTTACAAATTCTAGTCACACTTTCACAGTCTGTTTGAATATTGCCGCCCCTACAGCTAGTGAAAGCGTAACCACAGCCTCTGAACATTATTGTGACAATTGCATGGGGTTTTCTTGTATCTAGCGATTGAGTAGTGACAATAAAGACTTGACCAGAACTGGAAAGCATGCATGAAAATTCTCTGGTACTAGTACTTAGGGTAGGGGGATGGGCAAGAATGCAGCAATAATCAAATGGTTCCTAAAATTGCTCACGAAGAGATTTGCCACAAATATATGCACATTCTTCCAAAAATAGCCTTTAGTTATATTAGGTTTCAGCCAGACCTTCACGTGCTTCTGTGACATGACATTTTTTAAGATACATAATTTTTTAAAATAAAAACATAATAATAGGTCCAGATTGAGATGTTTTCGTTCCAAGTCTATAATTTTTTTGTAATGCGGTAAATGACCCATCCCCTCCTGTCAAAAGTAAAACAAGTGTACTCAGTGAACTGGCAACAAGTTGATACTTTCCCTGTGGACCCGTGGGAGCGCATTGTCTTGCAGCTCCCATGCAGGCTAACTGCATCATCGAATACTGTATTTAAATAATCATTTGGTGTAGATATAGGGCCCATAACTCCATGCAACAATTTTGTGTTCGTTCCAAATCAACTTCCAAATCCGTCCGCCAGAAGACCTGAAATGACCCATCCCCTCCCCACAAAAATCAGCCCCATTCAAGCTGGGATGGTATTTGTAAAGCCTTCTGGGAGCACCGTCCACCATTTTGTCTTTTTTTGGCATAGATAAGACTCACTTTTTGATTGGGTGTTGCCCCCTAGGTAATTTTAAAGAAAAGGAGCAAAATAAGGCATAGGGAAATAAAGACATGTCTCTTTATTTGGAAGCAGTCCAGTGTGGGTCTTGACAAACTATGAGCCAGTGAGCCATGCAAGTCATGCGAGCCATCGGTAAAAATAAAGTAAAAATGAGTATAAAATGCAAATTTACAGATTAGGAGTTGAGCACTCATTGTACTGATTAGGGTTTATAGTCTTTCATTTCATGAATTGGGGTTAAGTACTCACTTAAGGGCTAGGGTTAAGTGCTGTTTAGGGTTAAACACTTATTTACAATGGTTCTCGGCCATAGCTTGCATGGCTTGCTGGCTTGCATTCTGTACACACTCTACAGTGTTGCAGCATGGAGTAAAAGTAATTAGTCATCTAACCTGAAAGTTTGATTTATTTTTCCTTGTTCTACATAATAGCTTTGTGATTTCCAAGCAATTCTTTCTACGGAGGATCAAAAGAAGATTCGTCATTTAGATCACTTGTATGAGGTGTGAAGTTGTTAAGTGCGACTCTTTTCTCTTCCTTGATTTCTTATTTTCTTTTTTAAAAATTTGATTGCAATCGCAAGTGCAATTACTTTCAATAATTTTTGTTGAATTCATGTTTTTAGCAAGGGTATACGAGAGCAGGTTCTGGTCATCATCAAGAATTACCCTCTTGGCGACTTCTGCATCAGGATTATTATGTGGATAGCAATCCAAGAGTAGAATTAGTAGGTGTCTCATGTTTGTCAAATGTTTACTACAGAAATACTACAAAATGCAGATTGTCTGTCTCAGATGTGATGTCCACTGGATGTGATATCCGTTGGATAATTTGTATCAAATGGATAATCTGTCTTCATCTGAGAATGGAACGGTTTTAACTTTGGGCAAATAATCCGTCTGACTTTACCTGTCTTTTCCCCCTCAATTTTGGCTGATTTGTAATATTGGTTATCTGTCTCAGACGGATAATCCATCTCTAGTGTGAAAACGACCATTTTCACTGGAAAGACGGACATATAATAAGGGATGGGATGCTTAAGAGAAAACATTTAATTAAAGGGAGTCAGAGCAATAATTGACCACGACTCAGGCTTCTTTTGAATCCTAGATAGAGAAAAGCAGACAACTAAATACATGCAAGAGCAAAGATGGTTTTCATAATGCACTGAAGATGTTTGACATTGCAAATACTGTCTTCAACACAGTTAGGGTTGTTTGTTTTTTTTTGTATAATTAGATAATGTTTCCTCATGCACAACAACAAGTGATACATGTACATTGTACCTGCACCTGTGTGCCTGGGTCTTAGGCTAACCAACAAAAATCTGTCCTCAGGTCAGTAGACAACAACAGAGATCCCTGGAACTTTGTGACCATCTGGATCATTCAAATAAAAAGGTAAAACTGATACATAATTTTTCTTGCATTATTTGGGGATCAGGGATCATGCATGGTTAGTTGTTGTTATGGCCAGTTTTTTGACACTCACTTCCTAGCCCTGTGATGAAGGTGTGAATGTTGTATTCATAAGGGATTCTAAAATATGTTTATCATTGGCTCTATCTCTGCTACATCTTGTACATAGTCTTGTGTTTTCTCCATTTCTGCTCTGTTCAGAAACACCTGTAATAGATTTCTTCTTGATAAGCGATTCAAGGGGCACCATGACATTATAGTAATCAAATAACTAAACACTCATGTCTGTTATTTCAGGCTATGTAAAATGTTATTATCTATTGTATACAGGTCATGCACGCCAGATGTGGTTATGTGGGGGCTTCAAATCACAGAACAGTTTTTATAGATCTTAATGATGTCAACAGAAAATTAAAACCACTCTCGCGGAATCCTGTACAGTTTGTAAGTAAAAAGGGAGGAAGGAAAGTATCTTGTGTCATCATTTAACTTTTAATGGCCAGAGAAAGATATTTCATGCACTAACAGCTACTGATGTAGAACCACCGAGTCTGTCACTTCCTGTCACTACGATTTCAAGTCGCTGGGTAATTATGCAATTGGCAGGTGGGAATGGAACGAAGGTGGGGTGGGGGGTAGTATTTGGGTTAATTTTTTCTGGGTATGTGCCGTTGGCCTGTCAGAGCCCCTACCCCGTTATAGTCTATTCTGTGGCCAATTGTAGACCCCATCTTTATCACTTTTAGAGAAATATGTAATTTTCGCGATCCCAAAGTCAGTTTCTATTTATGTATCTACCTCATAAATCCTCTAAATATGTCATCCTAAAATGAATTGACTCATTTTTTACATTGAATGAAGGACACTTTACTTTTCACCTACCGTACAAACATTCTGGTATGTTTGCTAACCGTAAATATGAAGAATTTTCTTACCCCCAAAAATCGAAAATGTGCAACCCCATTCTAGTAGCTCTATTGAAAGTATGGCCCCATTATAGTCAATCCAGTCGTGAAAATTCCAGCGGCACATCCCCATTAGTCTCTTATAAGGAAGTCGCCCACCCTAGGTTAATAAAGTTTGACCTGTAACAGAAACACTCAGAGGTTGTCTTTAAACACAGGTCTTATTCGAATTTTTTGTCAATTTAGATGAAGAGTGGTTAATATGAACTTGACATATGTATTAATGTTCTAATATATAGTGTTTTATCTTTTCATTTTTAGGGATCACACCGCAAAGAAAAAGAGGAAATAGCTGAAAGTAAGTACTAACATTTTGCTTCATTTCATTTCGGCCATCATTGGACTGTCTGCTGTCTGTCTGCACATTCAGAGTTCCCAAAGTCTTTAACAGTCCTTTAATTTCTCGCCCCATGTAAGGGAATCCGGATTCCGGAATCCAGGAATTTTTTGCTCGTGGAATCCGGAATCCTGGGCTTTGGAATCCGGAATCCAGCACTAAGAATCCGGAATCCTACTAAAGATTGGAATCCGGAATCCAACTTACTAAAGATCCACTCCAGATTAAATTGAGCTACTTGCTCTTAAGAAAAACCATCCGTGGGGTAGAAATGAATGCGTGACGAACGAGCCCCAAAGGACGTCCGCGGGGAGGCTAATCTATGGACAGGCTCCCTAGGGTATAGACCTGAACGTGACGATATAATATCCGTATATCTGGTGTCAAAACAATAGTCCACGAGCTCCATATGAAAGGTCGAGGTCACGGCCACATGATTTTAAAAATTATATAATAGCGAGGGAACCCTTGCTTATGAGCGGCTGGGAGGATCACAAAATTGGGGGGTTTCAAGGGAACACAGCCCAGCCTTTTTAGGGTTTAAATTGAATTGTTATGAATAACTTCAACCTCTAGCTATGTTTGATTCACTGTTGTTCACTCGCTTCGCTGAACTTTAAAAAATCAAAAGCGATTTTATGCGAGCTTTTTGACCTGGTATAGGACAGGAAAGGTGCACCTGGGGTGAACCTTTTCTTGAACCTTCCCGGTCCTCCTGGTTCACAAATGAAAATAAACGTCTACGTTCAACAGTTTACCTAAAAAGAAAAAAAAGAAATTCACAGTCTCCTAGTGCCTAATTTGGTCCTCGTAGTTTCGCTGAGAACAGTTTAATGGTTTCGATAATCTTTATTTGAGAAATAAGCCAGGAACTGTCAGAACCGTACCAATCAGCTGTCACTAAAGTAATCACGTGCAAGTACGCAGTGGGTGCCTTTTTCATTCATCCCCCGGCATTCGAGTGAAATCTCACCACCTCTTCGATCAGACCAGTTTGAAGTTTGCTGTTTGTTGGATTTTTCTTTTCTACTGTTATTGGAAAGCACAAGCAAAAACAAAAGGCTGAGAGAGAAAGGTACTTGTAATACTGTGTTGTGAAATTTTATACCTATTTTTAGCTGACTGCGATAGATCTAAACGTGCCAAAGGCAAAGCTGCATGATTTTCGTTTGTGTCGATCTGTGGACTGTACTGAACGTAGCCTGCTTGGCAGGCGTTTGAAAGGGAAAATGCCTGCCACGCAGGCTATACTGAACGTGGCGGCAAGCAAGTCACAATCATGAACAAATTAAAGAAACGTTAAGTTTATAGTTTTAAGCCCGCTGATTGATTTTTTTCGCAATCATACGTGTAACAAAGGATCACAAGTTCTTCAAGTGAATACCTTTGCGCGAATCGAGTCTGCCTGCACGTTTAAGGTGATTCCCTGGTTTTGCACTGCGCATCTCTTGCTGCGCATAACAAGATGGCCGCCGTAAAAAAGAGCATGTGAAGTAACATTATTAAAATGACGTTGACTGAAGAGAAACGCTATTGGGATTTTTGCTTGCGGTTGTTTCTTGCCGAGGTGAGACTCAATGTGTTGGGAATGTGCATAACGTAGGCAGTACGCGTGTGGCTGAGTTCCGGAGAACCACGATAGTGGATGTTTAACTTGTGCTTACTCACTTTGATTTTTATTTAAACGCTTTCTTTATCACATTGTATCCTAAATGTGATATCTTGATGTAAATGCTGTAAAAACAGATTTTTTAATACTTTCTTCCCCCTTTCACATACATTCTATTTTGAAACTCGCCCCAGTCCTCTCTCAAAACTCGGAGAAAATGCATTTGGTGCGCACTTTCTGCAGCTGTACCGCAAAAACGAGTACGGTGACCCCCATTTTTTATTTCATGATTTTAATAAGGACAGTTCTTCCTTTCGATGAGAAAAAAATTGGCACAAATCTATGTTCAGTTTTTTGGCAATTTTACTAAATTGTACGGATTGAGCTTTCACGGGTCGAGTAGCGCGTGTCCAATTCAATTCTACTTTGGAGCGTAAAATAAAAACCGGAACATTAAGAGGTATTTTTCTGGTATTTAAGTGGATAAACAATACAATAAAGTCAAATTCTGTGCGATACCACATGCATCATCGAAAAAATCTCTCGTTTTTGTCTAGTTTTGGGCTGCGCGCGGTTTTTGACAAAGGGTCCAAAATAGCCGTATTTCTCAGCATTGTGACGTCAAAACGAGCACGGTGACCCCCACTTTTTATTACTTTTTTATCATCTTCTTGACTTGTTACATCAGTGTACCAAGTTTCACCTACAATCTATGTTAGGTTCTCTTACTAGGGAATCACCTTAAGGATGGTTTGAGTTTTCTTATAAAGAGCATCTCCTTAATTAGGCAATCAAATTTGTTAGAACCTTTAGTGAGCACGTGAAATTGTTCTAAAAGAAAAGGTGGTACGTCCGAGTTATGTTCGCTAAAATAATGTTTGCAAATTGACGACGATTTCTGTTTGTGTCCATCAACGCGTTCGTGGAGGTGGCCGCGAGTGTAACCAACATATCCTGCATCGCACAGGTTATATTGAAATTGATAAACTAAACATTGTTGGTTAACAATGGCTGGCTTGACTTCTCGAAATTTAAGGTCTTCGTTGAGTTTTCTGCTGATGAACACGGGCTGAATAGTGGTCTTGATTTTTACGCTGAGGTCTGTGAGACGTTTTTTCACTATATTAGCAGAGACCTGATCTTTAAATGGTATGAGAACTCGGATGGGGGCTGGGGTCGTGTCGGTTGATGGAATTTACTGCTGGTCTGCTACCTTGGAATCTACGAATTGTTTGACAGCCAGATCGAATAGGTGCCTCGGGTACTTAAGCTTTAAGAATACAGTCTCAAGCCGATCGCATTAAATTTTACGTCGTCCTTGGGGAAAATATCGTATGCATTGCTAAACGCTTAAAACGAGCCCACGTGTCAGAAACGCGCAGGTCTCTCTCGATCTCTCAGTCATCTCAGACTCGATCGAGGATCAGACGGACTTCTCATTTTTTCTGGTTCTATAGTTGTGATTAGGCCTCGTTCACATTGAGGTCGCTTTTGGAAATTAGACCGATCTGAGATCGGTTTAGCCCGTATTTTTTTTCTTTGAAATGGATCCTAGAGCCAACTAGAACGCGCTAATATGAAGTAAAACTCGCGGGGGATTTCATAATCTCACACCCAGATCTCTTACTTATTAATGAAGCCTAAGGCGAGATCTGGTCAAATCCGATTTTGTACCCGTGTTTGTCTGTCACGAATGTGAAAGGCCATGAAAGAGCGTATACTTGAAATTAATCCTCAATTTTTGACGTGTTAAACAACGAATTTGATAGAGCCGTGAAGTTTTTTCTATCAAAACGTGGTTATGCGCACATCCTAAGTATGAACCAACTAATTTTTGTGTTCTTTCTTATCTTTTTAACATCAAATTCAACGCGACAACTGGGGCCAGATCTCGCCTTTGTCTTCGTCAACAAGAGATCTGGGTACGAGATTAGGGATTTCCTTGACCTCTAGGGCGAGGGGGGAGGGGGTGGTTTGCTCTCGCATGCTGTTCAGCAAGGATGCTTGCGTAGCGTAAGTCAATAACGAACAAACAAGTTCAGCTCTACAGTTTTGACTAAACGCGGGCAAATCAGGCTATCTTTGACTACGTTTTGAGCCGTTATGTCCATTAAGCCACTTTTTGAATTCGATTTAAATGGTTCAGCAACAACTATTTTAACTGATAGTTTTGGGCTTGCAGACTGTCAAGAGTTAATGACTTTTTATCTTTATTTTGACCAGTCAAAAACTTCAAGACGTGACAGCGTAAAAAATGTATTTAGTGGATCAACGTGGTCCGGCCACTGCCCGAAATTTATTTTGAGCTATGTTATCATTCTTAGACAATTATGTGACACAGTCAACTTTAGTCACTTTAGGGCCGCGCTGACCGGGACACCACTTTTGTCAGCTTGAAGTTCAATTTAATCTTCTGTAGTACTCTTTTTGATTGTCAACCTTTTACTGAGTATATATGCTTATCCCGTCCTAGGAGAAGTGTATTTTTTTGTATTTGGCTAAAATTCGTGTCTTGCGAGGCATATGAGAAAGTGTGAAAGCAATTCAGTTAAGAAGTGATATCTAATGCGCTTGTTCTACAGCTTACTGTGTCTCTATAAATGAAAGTTTACAAAAGAGCAGTAACCGAATTTAGTTTTTTGCGCTATAACAATGATTCCAATAAAAAAGTAGAAAAAGAACTGTTTTAATGTTCCAAAGGAATTTGCAAACATGATTGAATGATTCGACGTAGCCTCTTCCAGGCGTTCCGACAGGACAATGAAAACTACGAATGTAACGACATATAAACAAACTGAACCTTCTGTTATATTATTGGTAGATAGCAAAAGACTTGATTAACCTTCGCTGGTTTATGATATGGCATAGATAGGAAAAATTGATTTGGAGTTACACACGAACTTTGTTAGGCCGTTTTCTTGCAAATTGCAGCTCGATTTTCCCTGGCAATGACTGTACCTTTTCCCAATCCTTTATTATGTAGCAATCAAATGAATAAACGTGAATATTTAGGAATGATTTGCAAGAGTTCTTTTGTTTCTGCTAATTAAGCATTTTTCTATCTGCATAGCTGAAAATAGAGTTCGCAAAAAAAGAGTAAGTGAAAAATAGAGTCTTGAGGTCAGTCTCACTCTCTACTAATCACTAAACCAGCTCCGAGATCCGAGATCCCTAAACATATGGAGATTTGGACTAGATCAATCGAAGGACAAAATTTAAAATTGCGATGTCGGCGTTTCGCCACGTTTTTTTGCGGTGACGCAATGTTTGTTATTTTTTTCCGTGGTGTTGCGGTGTGGACAGTCCCCCAATGTCCCCCTCATTATTATACCTTAAACCGTTACGGAACAGTAATACATTTCTTCACGTAATTTATAAATCGAAAAAGAAAACAAACTTGTTATGAATTCTAAACAACGTCTTTCAATATAGCAAGATTCGAACACGAAAACGAAATGCGAATAAAAGCATTAAAACAGAAAAAAAATTGGAATCCAGCCCTTTTTGGAATCCGGAATCCACTGAGCTGAAATCCGGAATCCAGTACTCGGAATCCGGAATCCACAGGGTGGAATCCAGAATCCAGGACTGTCATGGATTCCCTTACATGGGGCGAAATTTCAGAGGAAGTCCATAAATTATCCTTGAATTCAGTAAATCATGGAAAACTCCTGAATATCTTCAAGAGTCCTTGAAGAGTCCTCAAATTTTCCTCGAATTTAGATGCGTAGAAATGAAGTTGAGGTGTCGTGATAGCCCAAATTTGGGTATAATTATTTTTCTAAATTATGTGAACCATGTGCATATCCATGTGGATGTCACATGAATTTTTGGTGCTCATAGCTGTTACATTTTGTGGCGTTGTTTTTGATGTTGCTGGAAACCCTTTTTCCTATTAATTATGCCTGAAAATGTTTGGCCTCTAATTAATATAGCTAATTATATTTTTTTCAAGAAGAGACCATGAAAAACATGCTTGGTCCTTTTAAAAGACTTAAAAAATGTTATTTTTTGGGCCGAACCTTATATTTAACCCTTCTACTCCTAGACCTCATGACGACAACCCCCGATAAGTGAATATGACTAACAATAAACAACTGTTTAACAGTGACAATACACGGATCAAAACGTACCAATGACATTTCAGGACTTTATAGCCAATAACATCACGGCTAAATTGTCACTGTCTTTTAAATCTGTGGATGGAATCCCATGGCGTTATAAAAAATATGGAACCTCTGTGGCATTTTGTAAGGACTCTGTCCTCATGCGTTTCCTTGATTTCCTCTCTCGCTTGACAATGTTGCACGTATCTCATGCCCCATTTTCCTTATGCGTCTGCCACGTAGGCTAAACAATAATTTGCATTGAAATGATGCCGTTTTTATCTAGTTACTTCACTGCCCATAATAAGAAACTTTTGTTCAATCGAATTGACCACTCCAGAAATACTATAACATACCATAATGTTCTTTGTTTGTCACCCCAAAATTTGCATAAGCATTGTTTTCAGTTTCCCTGGGGCCATTTTAACTCCCAAGAGAAACTGAAGACAATGCTTATGCAAAATTTTTGGGTTACAAACAAAGAGTATTATGGTATTTTATGGTATTTTCTGGAGTGGTCAATACCCTATCGCCTCTTTCCCTATAAGCCTCGTCCTAGGCTTATGCCTCATTATTTTACGAAAATTCTCGAATATGGTAACGCTATTCTGGAACAAGAGTTCTAAGATCACAATTACAATAGTCATTAGCCCAGGGGTGCTATTTTTTGGGGAGTACCTTCTTTCGATTGGTATATGCAGTTGTGTAACAGTACAACATTTTATGCAATTCCTAAAGAAGCTACATTTTTGTAACAGATGAAGAGGGTAATACACAAAAAGAACAGCTTTCCAAGAACTTTGAGTTAGAAAGATCGAGTACCCGTACATCGTCTGAATCCACGAAGATCTACAGAGATTTTGATGGAACCACGTCTGCAAAAATGTCGCAGACTTCAAGAGCTCGGCATCAGGGAATACTTGTGACACCTCGGGTAAGTTTATTAAATTAAATAGGTTACTTCACCACAAAGAGAATTTCGGCACGTTAGCGTGAATTTTTGATTGTTGCCTACTTGAGGTATAGAGTACTAAAGCTCGGAAGTGATGATGATGATGATGGTAAAACCGAGGCTGATAAAGATGATGATTATGAAAATAATGATAACAATAGTAGTAAGTGCTGATGGAGTCGGCCTGTGATGCGCGAGGACTCGAGTTCGATTCCCGGTGATGTTAGATCCTTGTTTCATCTTCTCTCCTTTCTGTGTAGCTTTAACTAGCTTTGAATACCATTGAAAGGGAGCTTTGATGGAGAAAGGGGCGGGGGGGGGTAAAATGAGCGCACAGTCGACCTAAAGTTTATCAGTTATTACTGTCACGAGTTATCGACGTAAAATATGGTTGCTTTACCTTTACCTTTTGCCTTTATGGAGTCAAGCAAAGTGTACGTAAGAAAGTTATCGTAATGATGGTGATGATTGTGGTGGTGGTGGTTGTGGTGGAAGTGGTGATGGAAATCATGGTTCGTACAATCTTGAAAAGGTGTTAAATTTTAGTAATCTTATCGTCTTGAAAAGTCCTTGAATTCGGTTAAGGTCCTTGAAAAGTGTACTTGATTTTAATAACAGGCCTTGAAAAGTCATTGAAATTCACTACCTTGTCTACGCCAGACACCCATTTTCTGTAAAATTAGATTATTTCGCGGAAGAAAATCTGGCTCATCTTCGTTGTAAGAAACTAAAAACTCACGGCTAACGTAAAAACATTTTTTGTGTTTGAACAATCTTTTATTTCTGTTTCTTTATTTCAAATGCTATTTCTGTACCTCAGATGCAATTGCAAGTCATACCCAGTCATTTTGCTTGCAAAGTGTTGTTGCGGAAGGTACTATAAAATAATGTAATCAACCATGGCTACGAACTCATAAAATGCGTAAAAGACTACATGACGTGTTTTAGCCAAGTGTGCAAGAGAGGGTTAAAGAATGTCGATTTATTGAATAAATCTTGGTCCTAGAAAACTGTAATTCGTCCTTGAAAAGTCCTTGGAATTTGTTTGTTTAAAGTTGTATGAACCATGTCTATGGACCGATGAAATATGTAGATCGATGGTTCGCTGTTCATCCATGGATAGCCTGCGTAGCTGGCGGGATTAGCCGAGGAGTGCTTTGTTGGCGGCGGAGTCGCGAGAAGAGTGCCTACAAGAGTCCCTCGCGGCAAAGTCGCGAGGGACTCTTGTACGCACACTAGAAATAGACACACACTAGAAATAATGTTTAATGATGTTCTAGATAGAAAAGAAACCTTTTTTCGCCATAAAAAATTCAATCTTTTAAAGTCCCAAATCTTGTCTTGCTTTACAAGAGTCCCTGCGCACAAGAATCCCACAAGCTACCCAGGCAGATTCAGCGATCCTGCGATCTACCAATCCAGCGATGTACAGATCAATAAATAGGGCTCGACATTAACGGCTGACCGCTTGCCCGGAGAAACTAAAAATTTCATCTGGGCAACTAAGTTTAGGATCCTAGTTTCCCGATCGGGCAACTGCAACTTCTGTGAAAGTTGTAGGCTAACGTGACTCAGTATTTTTGTATCAAGTCTATCTTTTGAACTATCAAAGCTGTGAAGGTTTGTATTTACGTGCGTCGTGCCTAACCGGCGTGAATTGAAAAGAGATGGAAATGTGATCGTGATTAGCTGCCGCAAATCATTTTCAAAAACTGGAATGTTTTTGCGAGACTTTAAAAAGTTACCACAAAACATACAGCAAAAAATATGGAGGCGTACATAACGCTGAATTAATAATAGAAGAAACCTTCAAGTGTACCGTTAGTGTTCGTAGCAAGATAGAAAACGCTATAAACCTACAAAAGTAATGTCACGCATTATTTGAAACCTCTTGCTTTATCACGGATCGCGACTGTTTATCAGTTTTTCCCTCTTGCAATGGCGATCAACACGTTTCTGACGTTGGGGGAAAGTCATGATTTAAATATCGAAGATTTTACGAAGACTATTAAATTTATTTGACGCTAGAAACTTCAATTGCGCTGCAGCGGAAGTCACAGAAGCGAATTTCAAGTCAAGTTCTCCTTTTGTTCACCTTTTAACGGCGGAAATATTTTTTTGCCTACGGCCGACAACTAAACGTTTCCCGTTTTCGTTGTAAAAGTGCAGAATGAGCAAGGAATTTTGTTGTTTGTTCACCGGAAGTTAGCCTGAAAATCACTCTATTGCTATTTTTAAACGGATACCCAGCGGCGGCCTCTAAGCGTCCTTTCGGGCTCCCTGTTTGAAATTTTGGTCGCCCAAAGGTAAATCGTAGCCCGGAATTCTGACAACCGGACCCCTGCTAGATAGATCGGTAGATCGGTAGATCGGTAGATCGGTGGATCTGTAGGTCGCTAGATCGGTTAATCTGTAGATTAATAGATCGGCATATCTATAGATCGCTAGATCCGTGGAGCTGTAGATCTGTAGATCGGAGGATCGGAACAATGCAAGAACGCTGGATCTGTAGATCGCTAGATCGGTGGATCTGTAAACTAGATCGGTGGATCGGAAGAATGCAAGAACGCTGGATCTGTAGATTCCTAGATCGGTATATCTGTAGATTACTAGATCGGTGGGTCTCTAGTTTGCGAGACCGCTAGATCTGTAGATCGCTAGATTGGTGGATCAGTAGATCGATTGATCGGTACGTCGCTAGATCGGTGGATCGGTAGATCGCTAAATCGGGGATCTATAGATCGCTAGATCGGTTGATCTGTATATCTATGGATCGCTAGATCGTTGCATCTGTAGATGGATGGATCGGTAGATCGGTAGAACTATGGAACTGTAGATCTGTGGATCGGTGGATCTGTAGATCTGTAAATCAATGCATCGATAAATCGTTAGATTTATACGTCTCTAAATCTGTGGATCGGTGGATCGCTAGATCGAGTTAGATCAATAGATCGGTGGATCTATAGATCGCTAGATCGGTGGATCGGAAGAATGCAAGAACGGTGGATCTGTAGATCGCTAGATCGGTTGATCTGTGGATCTATGGATCGCTAGATCGTTGGATCTGTGAATGGATGGATCGGTAGGTCGGTAGAACTGTGGATCGGTAGATCTGTGGATCTGTAGATCTGTAGATCAATGCATCGGTAAATCGTTAGATTTATACGTCTCTAAATCTGTGAATCGCTAGATCGGTGGATCAGTAGATCGATCGATCGGAAGATCGATGGATCGCTACATCGAGTGATCTGTAGATCAATAGATCGGTGGATCTATAGATCGCTAGATCGGTGGATCGGGAGAATGCAAGAACGGTGGATCTGTAGATCGCCAGATCGGTTGATCTGTAGATCGATGGATCGCTAGAACGGTGGATCTGTAGATCGCTAGATCGGTGGATCCGTGGATCGCCAGATCGGTGGATCGGTAGATAGGTGGATCTATAGATCGGTAGATCGGTGGATCTGTAGATCGCTAGATCGGTTGATTATTAGATGGCTGGATCGGTAGATCTGTAGATCGCTAGATTGGTGGATCGGTAGATCGCTAGATCGGTGGATCTGTAGATCTTTGGATCACTAGATCGGTTGATCTGTAGATCTATGGATCCCTAGATCGTTGGATCTGTAGATGGATGGATCGGTACATCGCTAGATCTATGGAACAGTAAATCTGTGAATCGGTAGATCGCGGGATCGGTGGATCTGTAAATCGAAGGATAAGCAGATTGCTGGATCGGTGGATGTGTAGATCGCAAGATTTTTGGATCTGTAGATCGATGGATCACTAGATCAAAGGATCGTTGGATCGGTAGATCGATGGATCTGTAGATCGCTAGATCGGTGGATCTGTAGATCGTTGGATCTTTAGACCGATGAGTCGGTAGATGGCTACATCGGTTGATCTGTAAATCAAATAGATGGGTGGCTCTGTTGATCAGTCAATCGGTAAATCGCTAGATTTATGGATCTGTGGATCGGTGGATCGTTGAATCAGTAGATCAATGGATCGCTAAATCGTTGGATCTTTAAATCGATGGATTGGTAGATCGCTACATCGGTTGATCTGTAGATCTGTGGATCGGTGGATGGCTAAATCGTTGGATCAGTAGATGGATGTATAGATAGATCATTGGATCTTTAGATCGATGTATCGGTGGATCGCTACATCGGTTGATCTGTAGGTCAATAGATCGGTGGATCTATAGATCGCTTGATCGGTAGATCTATAGATCGGTAGATCGGTGGATCTGTAGATCGATAGATCGCTAGAGCAGTGGATCTGTAGATCGCTAGTTCGGTGGAACTGTAGATCGCCAGATCGGTAGATCGATGGATCGCTGGATCGGTGGATCTGTAGATCTCTAGATCGGTGGATCGGAAGAATGCAAGAACGCTGGATCTGTAGATCGCTAGATCGGTGGATCTGTAGATTGCTAGATCGGTGGATCTCTAGTTTGCGAGACCGCTAGCTCTGTAGATCGCTAGATGGGTGGATCAGTAGATCAATTGATCGGTGAATCGCTAGATCGGTGGATCGGTAGATCGCTAAATCGGGGGATCTATAGATCGCTAGATCGGTTGATCTGTATATCTATGGATCGCTAGATCGTTGACTCTGTAGATGGATGGATCGGTAGATCGGTAGAACTATGGAACTGTAGATCTGTGGATCGGTAGATCGGTGGATGTGTAGATCAATGCATCGGTAAATCGTTAGATTGGTACGTCTCTAAATCTGTGGATCGGTGGATCGCTAGATCGGTCGATCAGTAGATCGATGGATCAGTAGATCGATGGATCGCTACATTGAGTAATCTGTAGATCAATAGATCGGTGGATCCATAGGTCGCTAGATCGGTGGATCGGAAGGATGCAAAAACGGTGGATCTGTAGATCGCTAGATCGGTTGATCTGTGGATCTATGGATCGCTAGATCGTTGGATCTGTAGATGGATGGATCGGTAGATCGGTAGATCAATGCATCGGTAAATCGTTAGATTTATACGTCTCTAAATTTGTGGATCGCTAGATCGGTGGATCAGTAGATCGATGGATCGGAAGATCGATGGATCGCTACATCAAGTGATCTGTAGATCAATGGATCGGTGGATCTATAGATCGCCAGATCGGTGGATCGGAAGAATGCAAGAACGGTGGATCTGTAGATCGCTAGATCGGTTGATCTGTAGATCGATGTATCGCTAGAACGGTGGATCTGTAGATCGCTAGATCGGTTGATCTGTAGATCGATGGATCGCTAGATCGGTGGATCGGTAGATCGCTAAATCGGTGGATCTGTAGATCCCTAGATTGGTTGTTCTGTATATCTGTGGATCGCTAAATCGTTGGATCTGTAGATGGATGGATCGGTCTGTGGATCGGTGGATCTGTAGATCTGTATGGAGATCGTTAGATAGATCGGTGTGAATCGGATGGATGGATCGGTAGATCGGTGGATCGGATCGGTGGATCAAGAACGGTTGATCTGTAGGCTAGATCGGTTGATCTGTGATCTATGGATGGATCGTCGATGGATCATCAAAGGATCTGTGGATCAAGGATCGTTGGATCTAGATCGGGATCGGATGGTTCTGTAGATCGATCGCTAGATGGTGGATCGGATGAGATCTCTGTAGAGGGATGGATCGATAGATCTGTAGAACTGTGGAACTGTCTGGGTAGATCGATGGATCGTCTCTCTGTTAAATCGAAGGATCGGTGGATCTGTAGATCGATGGATCGGTCAAGCGTTAGATTTATACGTCTTTAAATCTGTGGATCGCAAGATCTTTGGATCAGTAGATCGATGGATTGGTAGATCGGTGGATCGCTACATCGAGTGATCTGTAGATCAATAGGTCGGTGGATCCATAGATCGCTAGATCGGTGGATCGGAAGGGTGCAAAAACGGTGGATTTGTAGATTGCTAGATCGGTGGATCTGTAGATCGAAGGATAAGCAGATTGCTGTATCGGTGGATCTGTAGATCGCAAGATCTTTGGATCACTAGATCAAAGGATCGTTGGATCGGTAGATCGATGGATCTGGAGATCGCTAGATCGGTGGATCTGTAGATCGATAGATCGCTAAATCGAGGGATCGTTGGATCTGTAGATGGATGGATCGTTAAATTGCTAGATTTATGGATCTCTAGATCTGTGGATGGGTGGATGGCTAGATCGGTGGATCAGTAGATCGATGGATCCCTAGATCAGTGGATCGGTAGATCGATGGATCTCTAGATCGTTGGATCTGTAGATGGATGAATCGGTAGATGGCTACATCGGTTGGTCTGTAAACCAAATAGATCGATGGATCTGTAGATCGCTCAATCGGTAAATCGCTAGATTTATGGATCTCTAGATCTGTGGATCGGTGGATCGCTAGATCGTTGGATCAGTAGATCGATGGATCGCTAAATCGTTGGATCTTTAGATCGATGGATTGGTAGATCGCTACATCGGTTGGTCTGTAGATCTGTGGATCGGTGGATCGCTAAATCGTTGGATCAGTAGATCGATGGATAGCTAGATCATTGGATCTTTAGATTGATGTATCGGTAGATCGCTACATCGGTTGATCTGTAGATCAATAGATCGGTGGATCTACAGATCGCTCGATCGGTGGATCTATAGATCGCTAGATCGGTGGATCTGCAGATCGATAGATCGGTAGATCGATAGATCGGTAGAGCAGTGGATCTGTAGATTGTTAGATCGGTGGAACTGTAGATCGCCAGATCGGTAGATCGATGGATCGCTAGATCGGTGAACGGTAGATGGCTAGACTGGTAGATCTGTAAATCGCTAGAACGGTGGATCGCTACATCGGTTGATCAGTAGATCAATAGATCGGTGGATCGGAAGAATCAAGGAACGGTGGATCTGTAGATCGCTAGATCGGTTAATCTGTAGATCGATGGATCGCTAGAACGGTGGATCTGTAGATCAAAGGATCGTTGGATCTGTAGATATGATGGATCGGTAGATCGCTAAATTTATGGATCTGTAGATCTGTGGATCGGGAGATCGAAAGATCTGTAGATCGCTAGATCGGTGGATCTGTAGATCTGTAGATCTATGGATCGTTAGATCATTGGATCTGTAGATGGATGGATCGGTAGATCGCTAGATCTATGGAACTCTTAATCTGTAGATCGCAAGATCTTTGGATCTGTAGATCGATGGATCGCTAAATCGAAGGATCGTTGGCAACGGCGATCGTTGGATCTGTAGATCGATGGATCGGTAAATCGCTAGATTTATGGATCTCTAGATCTGTGGATCGCCAGATCGGTGGATCAGTATATCGATGGATCGGTAGATCGTTGGATCTTTAGATCGATGGATCGGGAGATCGCTACATCGGTTGATCTGTAGATCAATAGATCGGTGGATCTATGGATCGTTAAATCGGTGGATCTGTAGGTCGCTAGATTGGTGGATCGCTAGATCGGTAGATCGCTGGATCAGTGGATCTGTAGATCGCTAGATCGGTTGATCTATAGATCGCTAAATCGGTGGATCTATAGATAGCTAGATCGGTGGATCTGTAGATCGGCAGATCGGTAGATCAATGGATCGCTAGATCCCTAGATCGTTGAAGGGTAGATGGCTCGATCGGTAGATCTGTAGATCGCTAGAACGGTGGATGTGAAGATGGCTAGATCGCTGGATCTGTAGATTCCTACATCGGTGATCTGTAGATTACTAGATCGGTGGATCTCTAGATTGCTAGACCGCTAGATCTGTAGATCGCTAGATTGGTGGATCGGTAGATCGATTGATTGCTAGATTGCTTGATCGTTGGATCAGTAGATCGATGGATCGGTAGATCGCTAGATCGGAGGGTCTGTAGGTCGCTAGATCGTTGGATCTGTAGATCGCGGTGGATCTGTAGATCGATCGATCGCTGGATCGTTGGATCTGTAGATCGATAGATTGGTATAACGGTTGATCTGTAGATCAATAGATCAGTGGATCTGTAGACCGCTAGATTGGTGGATTTGTAGATGGCTAGATCAGTGTATCGGTAGAATGCTACAACGGTGGATCCGTAGATCGGTGGATTGGTAGATGTCTCGGTCGGTAGGTCAGTAGATCGCTAGATCGGTGGTTCGGTAGAATGCTAGAACGGTGGGTGTGTAGATCAGTGGATCTGTAGATCGTAGGTCGGTTGATCTGTAGATCGCTACATCGGTGGATCGGTAGATCGGTAGATCTGAAGATCGATGGATTCGTGGATCTGTAGATCACTAGATGGGTGGATCTGTAGATCGGTAGACTAGCATAGTGGACCTTATTTGATTTCAGCCAGTTTTGAGGGTAAGCGATGTGTTATCAGCATACATAAGTGCAGATGATGACAGCTCGCATTCTTGTAGCTCATTTATATAAATAAGAAACAACAAGGATCCGTCTATTTACAGATCCAGTGATCTACGGATCCATCGATCTAACGATCCATCGATCTACAGATCCATTGATCTAGCGATCCATCTATCTAGCGATCCATCGATCTACAGTCATAGCCAGTGACTGTTGTCTTTTTGCAAAGTAGTGTTGTTACGGAAAGTAGTACAACATAATGTGAGAGATGATCAACCATGGCTGAAGATGTAATAATCGTAAATAACTCCATTGAGTGTTTTAGCCAGGAGGGAGTTCGAAAGTGGGTCAAAGAATGCCAATTTATTGTATAAATCTTAGGCCTTAAAAAGTGTAATTTGTCGTCGAAAAGTCCTTGAATTGTGTTTCTCTGAAGTTGTACGAACCATGATGGTAGTGGTGGGGGTCATGATGATGTTGATTATATTATTAAGTAATGGTCCAGATAAGAAGGAAAGGACCAAAACGCAGTGAACACGTCGGAATGCAAAAAGGTGCTAACTTTACTATTGTCTCTACTAAGGTTCTGATTGGTTTAAACATCAAATTTTACGAAATCTTCGCAAAGCAGCATGTACATCAATCCTTTTTTTTCTATCCAACTTCCTTATAACAAAATCTCGTCTGAGTCTAAGTAACACAGAAATCGTATGTGCGGATCATGTAAAATTGTGAACATTTCTTGGCCATTGTTTGCAACTCTTGTGATTGGTCGAAATGTTTTAACACAAAAATACACCCTTTAATAAAAGTGGAGTTTAAATACATTTTCTTTCGTAAACAGCCTTTTTGTAGATTTATGCACTCTCTGCGTAAAAATGAAAACATTTCTATGTGAGGAAAGCGTATTGCGCCACAACAATAGAAATTGCTTTCCTTCTTACCTGGATCATTACTTAAAGTTTGTGATGATTACGAAACCTTAATGTACAATATTTAAACATTAATTTTACTTAGGACTTGCATAATTCACATGTGATATCACAGAACTTGCAGTGGGATATTGAGACACAGGTCAGTACAGAGATTCCCTGTGTTAATTTTGATTTCTTTCGTTGAACTCTACTGAAGTTGACTTTCTCATGGTTATTTTTAATAATTCTTGCAGTCTCAGAGATTGAAACAAAGAACAGATAAACAAATGAAGGAGAAGTATGCCTTTTATTACAAAAGGCTAAGGCGTTATCAAGATTCTGATGAAAATACTGAAAAAGAACCCTCGAGCAACTCCAAAGTAAAGGTAGGCTTGTTACCCTTAAACCCCTTAAAGTGGGGAAAAAGGGCGACAAAAACTTGCAACTCGTTTGGCGACATTGCTGCGAAACGAGTTGTGCAGCGATGATGCGCATGTTTCCACCCACGAATCAAACCTATTTGCAACAAATCAGGGTGCTGTCAGGGGCGGATCTAGGGGTGCTAACCCCCACCCCCCCCACTGAGATGACCTGCGGTTTTCTAATACAACTGGTATTCTGCAAAAAAAAAACCATGTGGTTTATTGGTGTTGAAGTAGAGCAAGAGACGAGTGCACCCCCTCCTTAAAAGAATCCTGGATCCGCCCCTGGCTGTCCGTTTTACCGTAGCTTTAGAGTGACGGAATGTTAAGCCTGGTTCTCATATGTTGCCGAGCTACCTGCGATATACCTGCCGGTATTGCCTGCGATACCATTCCGATATGAGAACAGAAGTAGCCGGCAACAGAGGCCATGTCAGTCTTAAGCACTGGCATCCCTGCGAAGTTGACTCGAGTTCGACTTCGCATGCAGGTCGGCGGTAAAGACCTTCGAGGTTTCTTGTTGCCGGCGGTGTTATGTCCTCATTTGTCGGAGTAGTGTCGCAGGCAGTACCGGCGGCTACGTCGTAGGTTATTCGGCGGCATATGAGAACCAGGCTTTACTCTCTTAAAAGTAACTAACTATAATATGTTGCACTTGAAAATAAGTAACTGTCGTTGTCCAAACATCATGATTAATCGCTTATTTTCATCCAAATTGTTGGCTTGTTACTCAAAGTGATGTCCTTGCCCTAGAACAAATTATAGTAAGAATCTCAAACACCCCATTATCTACTCTTTGATATGCTTTGTTCTAATACTGTCCACAAAGCTGGTGATGGCCTCTGCCCCCAATATTTCATGGATCTCCTCCTCCATGGGAAGTCAACAAAGACTTAACGCTCGAAATGTCCACGGCAAGACGACGACGGCGGCGTCGCCAACGACGACGGCGACGGCGACGGCAACGAGAACGGCAAAAAACGACAGGGTTAGATTGGCAAAACAACAACTCTACACATGCATCATGTACATTTCTTTGCCGTCGTTGGACGACTGCCACGTGAAACTGCCCGTTTTCACGTTTTGTGGATGACGTGAACACAAGACAACGACTTTATTTCTCTTTTCCTCAACTTCGATACAGTCCTTTAGAATTTAATTCCAGAAAAAGTCGCCAACGATTGACGAATTTAACGAGATGAAATAAGCGCGACAATGTTTGAAGTAGCGTAGATTCATTTTTTAAGTGACCTTTTCGTAGCCTTCGCCGTCGTTGTTGATTATTTCTGACAACCGAGGCTTTCGCTGTGTGTGCCCCGACGTTTTGGAAGACATTTTCTTTCTGAAATATATGAAATTCCGTGAAACTGAAAACTTTTTCCAAGAGTCATTCTGTAGGATATTAATTTTGATTAGTTTTAATTTTTGTGAAGCGCCTCTTGCAACTAGTGGATATTTGCGCTGTATAAAGGCACAGTGATCATCATCATCGTTATCATCAAGACGTGGTCATACATTACAAACAAAGAACTAAAATCTACTGTTTAATTTTTCTGATTAAACAACTTCGCCGTAGTGTTATGTGTATAGATTTAAATTTATCAACTGTTTGCAACGAAGCGCACGCTACTGTTATAAAAGGGGGTATTCGCGAGTAGTCGAGGGAGAGGTTGAGGGTACGGCCTCACGCAGTCGAGCGCTTTAAAAGGGGGCCTTCAGAGATGTTCGGAGGAGGATGGAAGGATGCGTCTTCCTTTAGGCCGGTGTTCTGGAAGCGGGTCTTCACGGGTACTTAGGGAGGGGGTGGGGGTATGGCGTCACGCAGTCGAGTGTTTTAAAAGGGGTTCTTCACAGATGTGCGGGGGGAGGGTGGATGGATACAGCTTTCTTTAGGCCGGTGTTCTGGAAGCGGGTATTCACTGGTACTAAGTGAGGGGGTGAGGGTAAGTCGAGTGTTTCAAAACGGGGTCTTCATAGATGTTTGGGGGAAGAGTGGAAAGATACGGCTTCCTTTAGGCCGGTGTTCTGAAAGGAGGTATTTACGGGTACTCGAGGGAGGGGGCGAGGGTACGGCCTCACGCAGGTTAGTTTTAAAAGTGGATTTTGACCGGTTCCTTCCTTTTAATAGGAGTTACAAGAAGCGAACACATCGTTAAACAAAAGCAAAGATTCTGTACCAGTAGAGTTAATTGTTAGCCCGAGGAGACAAGTGCCAAAGAGAAACTCCATTTACCAATCACTAATGGAAAGGCTACATAAAACTGATTCCTTACTGGACTTTGGTGAAGTGCGGATACAGGATTACAATGTATCAATGCCACCCCGCTTAGTCAGTGACAGTCCTTTCTTAAGAAAGCAAAAACTCAGTTTACAGTTTGCAAAAAAGAGTTTGGAACAACACGACCGGAAAAGAGCTGTTCAGGTGCAAAAACTGGGAACCCTACACTCACCACAGACATACCAACATGATGAGCATGATTTAGGCGAGACACACGTCGATCAAGTTGAACAATTACTAGGAAAACTTCAAGAAGCGAACTATGTAGCAAGTGGACGAAAGGGCTTTGGCAATCAAAAAGAATTCGTGCTTGCTTAGCAAAAACTTATCAGCAAAATTGCTTCTTTTTCGTATGCAGCGCTTTATTAACTTTCGAACCCCTAAGAGTTACCATCATCAGATTTCTCCCTCAAATAACACTGCATTTATAGGAAATGATCACCAGTTACAAATGGTATTGATTGCTAAACGAATTCTCCTCATCAGTGCTGTAGAAAATGTATGGAGAATATGCACATTGATATTAGGGTGTTAAGGTTAATGATTTTGCCGTTACGGTATATAAATTCAATTTTGGAAGCAAGGAGCTACGTTACAAAAAAGAAGGACCAGATTTTCGAATATTGATAACCCGAAATATATATATATATTCCCGACTATAAAATCAGCCTTGCTTCTTTCCGTATGTGTATATAAGATGCTTATTTAACAAATTTTTCCACGAGTCCGCATTGGATATGAAATGGTAGATCGCCGACGAGGCGCAACGCACCTCGTTGGCTATAACCAGCTCATACCGAACAAGCGCGAGTGGAATAATTGTTTTATTAAAAACGCCCACAAAATATCGAGAATTCTTCCCGTCTTTATTTGTAAAAACAACCGTTTTTCAGCTTGCTTTTAATTTTGAGCAGACGTGTACAGCTACCATATTTGGAGAGCTTGGTATAATGGCTCGTATACCGTGATGGCTAAGCCAATCAGAGCTCTAGGATTGCATTATCCAATGATTCAGTTTTTAATAATAATAAATATAGTATTAAATAAATGTTCAAAGCGTTTACAATTGTTTGCTTACATTGACCTTTCGCCCAGTTTTGATACTGTACTACTATACTGATAGAGAGAAATTGTGTGAAGAGTTTGATAAAATGAAGTGAATGATGAGAGGGAGTTTGGTCACCCTGCAGAAGGCAGTAATGTCGAAATGGCGGTTAGCCAACCGAACAATGTAGCGTCCTAAGTAACAATTAACTTCATAAGTTTTTCACCTACACAAGCTTTTTTTGAGACGCAGTTTGTGTTGATTGACTGAACGGAGGGACGGAGGGACGGACAGACTGAACGGAGGGAAGGAAGGTCAGACGAACAAACGGATGGACCCCGTGGACAGAAGGACTCTCATTTATCGTCAAGCAAGGGCTCTGTTAGCCTGAGTATCAGGCGTTTCTGGGGAAAAGGGGAAAAATGGAAGCGAAAAAGGAAGAGAGGTGAAGGAAAATCTCCTCTCCCCCAGCCCCGTAGGAAGGCCTGATACTCAGGCTAGGACCCTGGAACCCTCAGCCTATACCAGAGCTACCGTTCAGCTGAATTTTGCTACCCTATACTAGACAAAACTCCCTAAATCCCCGGCCCCCCTATCCTAGAGTAGCTGTTTCTTAGAAACTACTGAGGTCGCTAGTATAGTCCAGCCAAAACAAAACCGATTTGACTTGCTTTCTTTTATATTTCTGAGTGGCAATTCCCAGTCTCCCTAGTCTAGACTAAAATCTTCAACCAATTATATTGATCGGTTTCCTGGAAATTGATACCCTATTTACCCTATCTCCGCTCTCCCGGGAGGGTGGTACGGCTCTGCTCTGATCTCTCTGGGATTCAGGGTATTGGGGAGCTTTTTAGCCATCATGTCTTACGTTGCAAGCGTTCGAAGGGAACCAATTTGCATTTACCAAGGTGGTTCGAAAAATTGGGATTCTACTGTAGATACAAAAGTATGAGGTGGAAGGGAAAGAAGGTAATTATGGGATTTATTCTTCAGTTTCACGCTGACCAAGAAAGGCCCAGACACCCCGTCCCACCCCACCCTACCCCTTTAATGCCTGCGCGCCAATCACATGACCGATTAAGAAACCGGTTTCTTGAATGGTTTCCCGGTGCACGTACGAGAGAACGTCAAATTATATATTCCGCTCTACTTGCGTTGATTCGTTGTTGGTTTCAACATTCAGGTGTGGAAATTATAAATATCATAACAAAACCACAGCTCATGGCCAACTTCAACAACAAACGACTGTACTTTTGAGTGAAAGAAGCCTTACAGACTTCTAATGCGTAGCAAACTACCAGCATACAAGTGTTCAACAAAAGAATAGTCCAACCGCCTGCTATTTGTTGGAGCTTTACCAAGGATTGCAAAATGAGGAGAGATGGTCAATCCTTCGAGGAGAGAGCTAGATTACTTCGTTCTGAAGATCGACCTTATCAGTCACTCGGCTCCGTGCATCATAACAAATGCAAAGTCTACAAACGACGTTGGTACATCTTGATCGTTTTTTCGATCGTTGCTTCATTGAACAATTTGATTTGGAATACATGGGGACCCATACAAGGTGCTGCCCAAGTAGTCTACGGCTGGGACTCTACGACTATTACCCTTCTTGCAGACTGGGGACCCATATCATTCGTGGTTGCCGTTGTACCCATGTGTTGGCTTATGGACATGAAAGGTAAATGATCACATGACGGTTTTCATTCATGGTTTTTCTTAAAATTTTGCCGGCGGCTATCGATGCTTGTCACGTAGCAAGGTTTTCATGCAGTAGGATACCTGGTCACCGTCTGTGAGATAAAAAATATTTCTTTCTATTTGCTTTGAACCATTAATTAATGACCGAGTGGGTCAATTTTACATAAAAGAGCTGAAATGAGGCACTTTTGCATTCAGCAGCCTTTTTTTGTAACAATTACTTGTACTATACCAAACTCGTGTACAATTTTATTTACTGTCACATGTTTGGTACGTTACATAGCATGTTATTGATTTTACACACTTTCTCATCAAGTGTAACAAGATCTCTGGTGATTAATCTTTGTGATACTGTATTAAATCATGAATCTGATACCCCTCAGACTGTCATGTGCTTATTCGATCAAGTTATTGGTTATATAAGGCATGCACTAGCTGAACATCCTATTTATAGGAAGATGAAGCTCATCATGTGGCAGGCATGGGGTAAAGAAAAGTGTTAGTCACTGACTGGGGTTGAACTTGGACCTTGTGGGAAAGACCCCTAGTGACCTCCAATAATGTTTAAAAAATAGCAGCAAACACAAGACAACCTTGTACAAATAAAAGTACACATTCCCAGCCAGTCCTCCAGCCAAACTACATACAATGCAGTTTTATGGATGTCTGTTGCAGTGTTAAATAAAAAAGTAAATTTATTATTATTATTATTAATATTATTATTGTTATCAAGGTAAAAGAAATGTTTATGTGCTTTTCATTTGTTTCTTAATAGGCTTACGAATAGCTGTCTTGGTTGCTGTTTTCTGTGAGTTTGTTGGAGCTGGTCTTCGCTGTATACCACTGTCTGACCTTACCCTTCAAACCTGGTTTATCCATTGTGGGCAGTTTATTACAGGAATTGGAGGTCCAATTGCCATGGCAGCAGCGCCGATGGTGTCTGCAGCATGGTTTCCTCCTGAGCAGCGTACAACTGCCACTGCAATCTCATCTCTGGCTTGTTACAGTGGAACTGCACTGTCATTTTTGATTGGACCTTTTTTGGTTCCTGATGTGTTAAGTTATGTTAATAACACTGAACTGAGCAGTGCAACTAAAGGAGGAGAAATCTCTTTCATAGAACTGAGAAAGTATTTCAACCAAACTGAGAGAGACTACTTCAAGAGTAAAATCATGAATCTAATGTATATTGAACTTGCTATTACTACAGTGACAATGATTTGTGTAATCATCCACTTTCCTAAGAAGCCTAAGCTACCGCCAAGTGTCACAGCTGCCATAGGACGCTTGGAATTCAAAGTTGGTGCGAAGAGTTTGCTAAAAAATGCTCAGTTTTGGCTGCTTGTGTTTATTTATGGCATTGGAACAGGAGTATACGGTGGCTGGTGTTCCATTTTGGATTTGAACCTTTCGCAGTTTAAGATTTCCCAAAACACTGCTGGTTGGTTGGGATTTGGAGCGGTAGTGGCTGGATCTCTGTCAGGAATTTCTTTGTCAATGTGAGTGTCATAAGGAAATAAGTTAACCCTCTGTTTCCCCTTTAAGCCTTATTATCTACATACAAATAATCTCCAGACTGATCCATACATTTCCTTAAAGAGTTAGTTAAGAGAATTTGGTAAAAGATCAAAGCATTTTTACCCTGGTGATCATTTTATAAATTCTCTTAACCTCTGTTACTAAAGATGTGTTGATATTGTAAGGAGAAATTGATGTTGGTCACTCTAGGGACTTGAGGGTAAAACTGTCAAGCATCTCTTGTCAAGTATGACCAACTGAGTGCTCAATGTAAGTTGACTGTTCAGGGAGTGGTGGTGAAGACAACAAGAGTAACTTAATCGGCAGTGATTTTGTTACCTCTGTGTCCTGTGTCCTCGACGCACAAAAATCCTGCAAAGACACAAAATAAATCATGGCATGCATCCTGTAGGACACAAAGATTGGTCGATCTGAATATGTGTTTTTGCAGAATATTGTGTTCATGGGATTTCTGTAGCAGTTATTAGGGCTGTTGTTAAACTAGGCATGTTTTCTTCAGCCTTTGTTGTCCTTTAAAATAGAAGGACTCTAAATTAATTTTAGGGCTGTTATACAGAGTTTCGGAGTCTGTCTTCAGATTAACTGTCTGGAGGCCTGTCTGGATACATAAAGGCCCAAGCATTTTCAACTTAGGACTCACCATAACTATTTGTAGCAAAATCACTGAATGGGACATTAAAAAGTGACAGCTTTTAATCCTTCAAGTCCCAAAAGTGATGAACATCAATTTCTATTCTTTGAAAAAAATTAGTGACATGAGTCAAGAAAATTTGTATGTGGGTATATTATATTGAGGGTTAATATCACACTCTTGATCGCCCCCAGCCCAAGTTATGGCAGGAATTATTTGTGACCTTAAGCCTCAAAATCTACGTGCAAATTCTCCAGATTAATCTCCATATATTTCCTTAAAGATTAGTAAAGAAACTTTGACAAAAAATCAAGGGTTTTCTGGATTGAGTTTTGATGAATTACAGTTAAAGAGAAAACTCATGTTAGTCACTCTTGGGTCTTAAGAGGGTAAAAAAAGGGGATACTTGTAACAGTTTTTTCTGTTTAATGGTAAATACAATAATAATAAGTTTTGACCTTATGTGATTTTCTTCCCTGAAAGTGGGATTCATAGTAAAATCTTTGGTAGTGCCTTCATCCCTCAAGAAAAGAAAGAAACATATGACCCTTTCTGAACAAGTTCAAGGTGTTTACCATGCATTATGGACAAGACCCAGTTGTTCAGCAGTTGGATACCGTATTTATTCGATTAACCGCACAGGGCGCTTATTAAATTTTTGAACCTTGGGAGTGGGCGCTTATTCGAGGTGGGCGCTTATTCAAGGCTGGGCGCTTATCAAATTCTCACCATTTTCAGCAAGTGAAGTATGTGTATTTTGCAACAAAACAATAAAATGCTAATAACAAAACGCAAAGAAGTAACAAAGTAAATTTTCTGTAAAATACTCTGAAGAAAACTCCGTCCTTGGGGAAATCTCTTATTAGAATTTATTCACTCAAGTGGGTGGGGTGGGAGTGAGCGCTTATTTGAGTTTAATTGGGAGGAGGAGGGGGTGGGCGCTTATTAAGTTTTTCTGGTTTTAGGATGGGCGCTTATTCGAGGTGGGCGCTAATTCGAGGTTGGGCGCTTATTCGAATAAATACGGTAGTACTATTTACTGGATAAATTTATCATCCAGTGGATAACTATTAGAAAAACCAATTGCATCATCTTCTGGACATAGGTTAATCTAGTGGATAGCACTATCCATTCTTGAACTACCGGAGCCAAGCCATGAAATTTCAAACATGTGTTGAATAGCACTCTCCACTAGGTAAATCATAACTAGAGATCATTTAATTTGTACTTATTTGCCCATGCAAAGATTTTTGATCCCTATACAATTTGTTTTTCAGATTTGTAGACCACTTTGCGCGTTACATGAAGCTGACTGTCATAGGACTGCTAACAGGTGCAACAGTGTCACTCACAATATTCACGCTGATATGTGCTGGCATCCTTCCTTACTCAAAACCTCTCCTCTACCTCACAAGTATCCTTGGAGGGTTCTTTGTCAATGGAACCATCCCGTTATTCTTTGAGTTGGCGGTGGAATCAACATACCCAGTTGCTGAGGGAATTACTTCTGGTTTTCTAACCTTTTCTAACAATTTCCTGCAAATTGTGTTCTACATATTCCCAATGATACCAAATTTTGGGCTGAGATGGATAAATTGGTGCACATTTGTCACCACTGCTCTCTGTATTCCTCTGCTGATGTTATGGAAACAGAGGCGTTACCGGTCAAATATCGACGAGAGGCCTGACACTTATGTCCCTGCACCACACAACAGAGAGTTAAATAGTGAAGCCAACTATGGCAGTGCAAGTACAACAGCAAATAGTGGCTTTCATGGCTCTGTCTCAAGTCCTTCAATACAAACAAGCGTTGATGATGTTGGGATCACTTTCATGCCATCCAAGGCAGTGTGAAAACAAAGTTTGTTTTCTGTACTGTTCTCCACAGGAAGAGAAGGGAGAGGATCTGTTTAAAAATCAATGCATTTTTTCTCTATCAAATGCTTTGTTTATTCTCCTAACTTTTATTTTTGATTATTATTAGAATGTGAAAAAAATATACCGGTGAATAAGAATTGTATCTTGATTTGTGTTAGATCTTTTAGGGTAAATGTATCTTACATGAGATCATTAACAAATTTGTGGTACAGAGTTCACCAGCAATAAGTTATTCTGTTACAATTTTGATTCAAGATATGATTTGACATGACGTTTATTATTTTTAACATCTGCCGTCTCAAATATCATGTGCTAATGATATCATTATCATTGACCCCCTTTCCTTTCAAGATACGTCGATGAAAAGACAATATGAAAACGTTTTTTCCTTTCCTGACATCTTAAAATAAATGAATCCCCTTTGCAGTGAGAGATTTATATTTATACATATTTAACGAAAGCCAAGGACCTAGTTTGTGAAAGCCATTTTAGAACATATTCTAAATTTTAAGTTCTTAGTAACTATTACGCTCTTGCAAAATGTTACTTTTTTGTGTCAGATTCTTAGTTATCCATTTATTTCCCATTAAATCTTAAAATAGTCTGAGATTAACTAGAAAATTGACTTTGTGGACATAATGTATCAGAACAACAGATCTTTGGGAAAGGTTAAAACTGGCATGTTTTCCAACATTGCTTTGAAAAATATATTTCTGCCACTCTTTTTCAACAATGTCAACAAAAATATTTAATATTTATGCTTTCACTAATGATAATGTCTGGAGTGGTAATCAAAACACTATTAAATTGCAATGTTTGCAGTTTGTTTATTATTTAAGCAATAGAAAACCTTTTCCATGTTTGCATAGCATGATATAAAAACAAGAGGGGTTGGGAGGATTTGAGCCAGTTATGCAAACCCGAGATGTAGTCAAGGGTTTGCAAAACTGTCAAGAATTCTCCCACCCCTCGAGTGTTCACATCAGGCTATGCCAATACAGGAAAAAAGTTTTCTTTTGCTTTTATAAATTAACTTTTCTGAGAAAAAACACAAAAATCTTTGTTATGGAACTGATTAAAAGAGAAATTCTCACCAGTCCCGAAGTCTTGTACATGAAGTCTAGAACATAATCAGTTATTGTTTTTCAAAAAAGAGGCTTTCCAAAATATGGATTTTTCTCACCTAAAATGTCAGCTTGAGTGAAAAAAATTGATACAGCATGTTTAAAGATTTTCCAGGTTTCAGCTGACAAGGGAATGGGTAAATAAAGAAGACTTGTCGAGTTTTCCACCAAAAAACTTTTTCAAATTTGTGCTTGTGTTGATGTGCATGCAAAAACCAAAACATCTTGACGTCTCAACCATGTTTACATACTCACATGCAAACACACCTCTCAGCCAATCAGAGCGTGTGTACTATCTTAGTAATTTTATAAGTAAAATTAATATATAAACAATTTTATGAACTAAATCGGTCATAATCAAAGAGGAAATGCGACTAGGAATTCACTAGTATAAGCAATGAAATATGTTTAAATGGGGTGAAAAATTATCATTAATAAAAATATGAATGAAAATTATTGTGGTGTTGTTGCTTACCAAGACTACTGGTGATTGTAAAGCAGATCGAATGTTGCTTGGAACAGCCTCCACAATCACCCATGGTATTTCGATGAGTGGACCTCTTTGGGAAATTCCAAATATGCATTTTTAAGTCGCAAAACGAATTTTGGGTATCTTTATGAATCCACAAAATTAATTCAGATCCAAGCATTTCTTTGGACTTTGTCAGGTGCACACAGCCAGTCAAAATTAGCAGGCAGCTGGTGTCATTTTCTTCTTCCAGTGGAATATCTGCTGCTTCCTCAACACATAAATTCAATGATATTAAATGAAAACTACACAAGTTTAGACCCTTACTGCCTTCCAGTCTGGTTACCCTGCCTATAACTGCAAAACATTTTGACTGGAAAGTGCACCTCACAATCAGTTTCCTTGTGAAAGTAAATGAGGCTGCCTGGTTTCTTGCCAGTTTGAGCCAAACTTGTTTTCATGTTAAAGGATCCACTTTTTAAGGTTTCATTTCTTTCATCACATAGAAAATCAAAGAATCTGAGATCAAAATCAGTCTCAAATTTCCCTTGAAATAAATACATCTTCTAACACAGGCCACCCAGACTCTTTTGGAGTTCATTAGAAATTTGATTTTTATAACAAATAGATTCCATTCTTCCTTTTGAAAAGATTCAAAATAGCTGGTGACTCAACTTTTTTTTGTGTTGTGTGTCAGTCAGTTTGCTTCTAAGAGCCATAATTTTTTTCAAAGCCATTTTAGTGAGTTTTAGATTTTGAGTTGTACTTACAATCAGAACAACTCAGAAATCTAAAACCCACGTTTTCAAGACATCCAGGGGCCTGTGTTTTCGAGACACCCAAGAGGATCTGAGTTTTTGAGACATCCAGGGGGTCTGAGTATTTCACTGAGGAATCTGAGTCTTCGAGGCACCCCGATGGGGGTCTGAGATCTTGATTTTCTTTTCCCCTGATGGATCAAGGAGAAAGTTGCACCCCTTTCTTGATAATTACCCTGCTTTAATTTACATTTGTATATAGCCTAGCTTAGAGTCCTTTGGACAATGGTTAAATAAAGGGCGAAATCTGCCTAGCTTGGTGACCCTGTTACAACTTCATATTTTAATTATAGGTCTGTGGCTGGATTCAGGTCGAGTCCTTCCAAACAGTTGTTTGAACCTGTCTTTGCTACAAAATTTAGGCCAGTCACAGGCTTAAAAAGTATTATACATTTTTATGAAATTCCCAGCAGGAACCCTGTTTCCATTTTAAAAAGGGACGGTTTATGACTCTTACACGACATATATGACTTTATATTTTCTCATTGCTGATTGGTGCTCGATGATCACATGACCCAATACTGTCGGCCATTTCAAATGTTCGTTGGAATATGCAGCGAACAGATCGTTGTAAAATTTGTATTTTTCAACACGAATCGAAAAGTACGAGCTGGTTTTGTACGTAGATTCCAACATTTGAAAACTATTCGATAAACAATGGCAGACGAGGATATTACGAAGCTTCCGCTGGAAGATCGCTTGACCCACAAGGTAAAACTTTGGCGCGCTCTGTTTCTCACGTACAGTGAAACGAAAACATCTCCTTCGTTTCTTGTTCTGAAATGACGATATTTTCGCGGTGTAGGTATGGAAAGCGAGGCTAAGTGGTTACGAAGACCTAGTGAAACTCTACAAAAGGATAGACGATGAAAGTAGCAATGAATTCAATAAGTACTTGGGAATGCTCAAGAAGTTTGTCATTGATAATAATGCAGTTGCGCAAGACAAGGGCCTTGAAGCCGTACTTGCATTTTTGGAAGCCGCTTCGCCGTCGATTTCTGGAAGGTTAGTTTCAATTATTTCTGCTCTTTGCACGAGGGTTAGCCCCACTATTTCAGCATGTTTAGCATAGAATTAACGATCAGAGGTAGGTGGTCCATTCGATTCGCCTTACAGTTTAATTTTCGTGATCCAGTCTACGTGGACCTTCTTAAGTAATATTACTGAGTGGACTGTGGCAGCTTTTTGGTATTGTACCTTTCATGTTTGTTCCCTTGAACAAACCTCTTTTTTCAAACAGTGAGAAATGTTGGCAGTTTGAACGTTTCTTTCTTTGGGGTGAACCTCAGTAGAAGGGGGGGGGGGGGGGGAAGAAGGAGTAACTGCACTCTATTGACAAGGGAAAGAGGAAAATTTTGGGCTGTTTGGGTTTTTTTCTTTGCTATTTCCATTGCATCATTCACTTTCACTTTGTAGAGAATACGTGTAGGGCAATGATTACATTGATGGCTCTGTTCTCCACAGGAAGATGAGCCAGATACATATGTGATTTTATTGAGTTCACAGGAAAGTTGTGCTAGTGCTGTCGCTGACTCCAAGTGTATTAAAATTAAAGGCATAAAATGTTATTTTCGGTGTCATATTGCCCAAAATACTTAGTAACTTGGGGAATCCCTAGCAAGCCAGTGCTCTAAGGAAAATTAATGGTGTCCAGTGCTCTTAACCTGTTAATTCTAGGGTGTCCAGCATGACTAGTATGAAAAAACTTAGACTGTCTAGTCACCCAAGAGCAAACGTTGGGTGCAACGGGCCCCTGGGCTTTGCTAGAGCACAGCCCTGCCTAGGAGGCTCTTTACATGTCAGGGGGTACTTACCATCTACATGGAAGAACCTGGAAATTCTAGTTGGAAAATCAGATGGTATGCGCCATTCCATTTGGGAGGCCTCAGAAAATATGGGCTGTGATTTGAGGCAATGCAATTTTTCCACTCTTTTTAGTCTCTTACTGTAAGCTGATTTGGAAATACTTTGTAGTGGGTCGTTATCTTCCACCATGTCAAGTTTTGTAGTTCTATTTTTATGTTCAAGATTTCCACCTGGGTGGCTTGTGTAAATGGCAAGCACCCCTCCTTTGACTTGATGCAGTGAGCCATTTTTTATTCCTCCAACTCTACGCTTTATCCATATCATCAATTGTCACAAAACCTAACTTATTGATGATATTCATTTGATTCCTTACTCACTTTCTTTGCCAAAGAAATAGGATATGAAAGACACCCCTTTTAATCCGTATCAACTTCACTTGTTTTACATGCGCTCTGTTGTTATGTGTGTAGCGGTACATTTACATTTAGAGCTGTGCTCTTACAGCAGCCAGTGATCCTTGACGACTTCTTTTTCCCTTAAGTGACGAGGAAATCCTAATTTTTGCATAAAAACGTATAACTCTGGGCACTCTAGATTTGATAGGTTCAGAGTTCTTTGCCTTCTTACAGGTTTCCTTTGGACATAGTCTTAATTTTACTTCTCTTTTTAATGCATTAAAGGGCAATAGGCCATTTCTGAGTGTATCAGAATGAGGTTAAGTGCTCAGTCTTTGATACAGAGATGATTTTTCATTCTCATGCAAATAAAACTCATTTCCACAAAAAAGGTTGTGAACTTGACCTCATTTTGAAAGTGAGGGTTTTTGGAACTGTATTTAAAGGAGTTAACAACTGGGAGTGCCTTCATTGTTAGTGGTCAGTGGCTATTGTGTACATGTATATGTATGCTCAGTACATGTACCGGTAGTTTGCTACATTGTTCATGTTTTGTATGTCTTAGGCAGTGTGAGGCATTTCTTCAAGCTTAAAGGTTCATACTGCCAGTTTTTATTGTTCTCCTCCCCTTCTTTTTTCCACTTATAATTATCAGTGTGCTGGTTGCCTGTTTTTTCTTTGTGTGGGGTCGCATGGCTGGACTGTGGCTGTGCCAGCCATTGGGGCGTTATTCAATCTGGGGGCTGGCTGCCAAAAGGGGAAGCACCTGGATATTCCAGTCACCTAACCTCCACCAAGTGATGCAGTTGTTAACTTTGTAGTAAGAGGTGGTTGGTTTCCAGAGATGGTCACAAATCAATTAAGTTTCACCATGTTCTTAATTTTGACCAACATGTTGATTGTGATGTAGGGTTGCTGGTGATGTCATAGCTGGTGTAATTACCAAGTGTCTCAATGCCAGACCCAAGACTAAAGAAAAGGGAATTGAGATTATTTTGATGTACATTGAGGTTGAGAAGCAAGATGTTGTTCAGGTAAGAGATGAAGCAATAGAGACCTTAAGATCAAGAAGTCATGTGACCAGTGCCTTGTCGTCAGGTTTGCTGTTTGAGGGTTGCATTTCTATGGCTAGACCATGTTCTAGAGGTAATTGATTTACCGCAAATTTTTTTGCACTCCCAAAACTCCACAATCCAAGGTTTGAGAGAAAATACTACTTTTAAGATCTCTCTTAAACTATTTTTCCTTGAAACGTAATTTTGAAGCCGATTTCTCAGTTAAAATAGAGGTGAACAAATGAATGAAAACTTGTAAACATGGCAGCTGCAAGCTACCACCCGCTAATCCTACATATTGGCAGATGGGTAACTTGAAACCGCGAACTCGCCAACCATGGTGTGCTGTTTGCGGTAAGATGGCCAAACCTTGAACTTGAAGTCTCTAATATATTTTAAACATCCTTGAACTGACGATGAATGCTGAAACATGTCTATCCTCCAATCACTTGATTTCAGTGGTAGTCAACTGTAAATAATGTTAATCCATGCCTGCTTTTTCTCTTTAGGAGGAAGTATTAAAAGGACTCGACAATAAACAGCCAAAAATTGTTGCCGCTTGTACCAATGTGCTTTGCCGAGCTATCAGGTACAGTCCAAACATTTTTTCAATTATCAGGGTTGTCACTAAGATTTGTAGTTGCCAGGAATAATTTATACAATATTATTAGTAGGTGGGGAATGGAAGAGCTAGTAAGTTTTTTTATGTTCTACCCTGGAAGCTCTCATAATGGACACTCGCGTAAGTTGACAGTTCTACTTATAACTGCCTTCACAAAACCCCGTTCTTCTCAGCTCCCATGCAAAATCTGTATTTTTGCATTCCAGTAAGCGGCCAGCGTCAGTTATGGACACCTTTTTTGTGTTCCGTGGGTGTCTGCTTATGAGTGCTTTCACTGTATTTTCCTCTTAGTTCGCATAAAGGTAGCTGGGGGAAATCCCTTACAATTACTGGTAAATGTTTTACTCTAAAGATGGTGATCATGTGAATAATAACCAGTCTTACCCTTTTACAGAACTAACTTCCTGATATTAGCGCTTAAAAGTTCAATAATAGAAATTGTATCTGTATTCGCTTCTTGTCAGTACATCCCGGTGACAAATAAAATGATGGAAAATTCAACGTTCAATCATTAATATTACTCTTATACTCTGTATAATAAAGAATAATGATTCTACTTTATAATAATTATTAAGTTGAAGATATACATTTTTTTCTAATAGTGAATTTGGTGGTAAAGTGTTTAGTCTCAAGCCCATTGTTAAAGTTTTACCCAAACTGTTTGATCACAGTGATAAAACTGTTAGAGGAGAGGTAGGAGTTTGCTATTTTCTGTCAGTAATGTATTTTTTGTAATAATTGGTTTATCGTCATTTGAATTAAAGTACTGTATTATTATATCAAATAATAATAATTGCAGGCAAAAGCCCTTGCTGTTGAAATATACAAATGGATAAGGGACATCATCAAGTCACAGCTACAGAACATCAAGCCAGTCCAGGTTAGTTTTTCTGTTAGCCTAAGAGAACAGTCAAAATGTTAGAAAACCGTCACTGAAACCGTTACAAAATCGGACGACCGTGTAGCAGGAGTCCGATTTGTTTAATCACAAGTATGATTACAGACCGAATTGGACGACACGAAGTTCTGTTACCAATTAATCACAACTTTAACAAAATTTGTGACATAACAGGCTATTTTTTCAATCAAAACAAAATAAATTCGAAGTTTTGTTTTGGTAGCAGTGAAAAAAAAGCCATTCAAGCGCGCTTGTGATGGCGCGTACTGTCCAATTACTTAGGCGTGACGCGTACTGTCCTATTAAACTGGTCAATTAAGGCTAAAATCAGGGCAGTTGATAGCCAATCAGATATGACAATTTTGTTATAGTTATGATTAAGAAAAAAATAGCTGTTTTTTTACAAAAAGTAATTTTGATTTCAAACAAAATAAGATTAAAGACAATTAAGTTCATGAATTTCATTGATTTTTAAATTGTTTACGGTAGTTTGTAGAAAGTATTATTTGGAAGGCTGATCATTTTTTTCGTGATTTCTGATTAAGAAAAAATTAGCTGCTATTTACAAAAATTAATTTTGATTTCAATCAAAAAACATTAAAGAGAATTAAGTTGATGAGTTTGATTGACATGTAAGTTGTTTACATTGGTTTGTAGAAAGTATTATTTTGAGGGCTAAGCATTTTGTAGTTAAGTTTATGTACATGTACTTACACAGTACAGGTACCGTAAATCCTCTGTTAAGCCCCCCCTTCAATTTGAAGGGGGAGTGGGGGACTTATTTAATTTAGCAAAGGTGATAAAGAATTAGAATGTAAAGTGGAAAAGCTCAAGTAAAACGGTTGGAAGTCCTGCAGCCAAGGATCAAAATAAAAAATTATCTGACCCTCCACCTCGTGAATAAACCATCCTGAATCATCCCACATGAAGTGCTACAGTTGGGTTTGATTAATACTAACAGTTTATTATTTATTAGTGAAGAATAATAAGAGGGAGGGGTTGAGAGGCTTATTAACTTCCTTCCCCGGAAAAGGGAGGGCTTATTGGAGAGGGGGGCTTATTTGAAGGGGGAGGGAGGGCCTTAAAAGAGGATTTATGGCATATAAAAAAATTAAATAAAAATAAATGATTCAAGACTATTTTGAAGTCCATGGTAATTATTCATGTGGTGACAATAAGCTCATCAGCTGTTACAACTGACCACTCATTAATTATTGATAATTCCTTCTTTTTGACAAGTTATGCAAGTATTAATGAGGTTTTCCCATAAATGAAAAAATGGAGTGATTTTGGCAAAATACTGTGTCATGTTGGGTGTGTTCTGTCCAATCATAGATTCTATAATCAGCTGTTCACAAAATTAATGTTCTGATTTTTGAACCAATTAAGATTTAATGACAGGGAGTAAGTGTCGTGTAGAATGAAAAAAATGAGGTTATGATGATTTCCATATGAAACAAATTAACTTATGAGTGAAAGACATTGAAATGACATGAAAAGACATGGAAATGATTGACCAGGCTACATTCTACAGTGTGTGGGCTAAATTTCACCATTAGCACTTCAAGGATTTAGTTTCAAAATGTTTTAAAATCCGTTTGGAGTTCTCAGCCATGGAGATTAATAAGTGGTGTATGACAAGGAGTGTTAATATGGAAAAAAGGGATGCACCAATTACCAAGAATAAGATTTTGCATGCTTCTTGTCAGCTGAAAATGACTGTTTGAACTACACTGCATGGAGGAGTTTCTTATGTAGATCTTTATTCAAGGGATTCAGTTTTACAGTTAAAAAATCTGTCCATGTTCCCAGTCATGGAGATCATTATTGGTAGTGTGTTGTTCAAGGCTTTTATGAAAGGGTCTCAAAAGTCTTCATTCAATAATTCAAAACTGAGGATCAGGAGAACTGAGATTAAATCTGTGCGGGGAAGGTTCTCGTCTGAGAAACCGTGTCACAATTCACCTGGTACCCCAATAGAGAGACTTTCTCTCAATACGACGGTAATGCTAGCCTCAGCTGAATTCATTGTGCTAACGCTCAAGATTTAGATAGTGTATTAATTTATGACAGATTGCACCTTCATAACAGTTTTTTTGTGATATTATTAAAAAAATTCTGTTTCATAATCCTAATTTCTAAACATTATCTAGCGTATATTCAATACTTTTCCAGTTAAGTGATCATCATGGAGGCTGCCATTTTGTTGTGAAATTATGGGTTTTGTTGGGCTCCTGTCTCTTAATTTTTTGTTCAGCTCTCCATATCTTAGAAAAACATGGTTTTCAAAATAAAATGGAGGTGATGGAGGACTGAAAAAAATTAAATGCTCGGGATGCTGTTAGACGAGAGGGGCTTTGTGGACCTAAGACTGTTATAACATTCAATTTGTCAATTTGAATCAAGGCAGTGAAATTGCGAGAGGAGACAAAGAAATTGCTTGTCACTGGTTTATTTCGACTACCCTGAGGGTATATCCCAAATTTGTCTTGGAAGACCATCCAGAGGGTAGTGCAGTGGAACCTAGATATAATGAAGGGCCAAGGAACTGGCAAAATATGTTTGCTATAACAAGGTTTCATTTTCACAGGGCACTTTTCCATATAGTTATTTTACTGGGGTGAAGAATAATAATTTTTATTACACTTTGTTATAGAGGCTCATTTATAATGATATTCCACTGTAGTAGTTTGAGGGTAGCTGTTACAAGTCAAAATTAAATTCAGGTTAAACTTTTTTTCCTAGGTTAATTCTCGATTTCCCTTGTCTCCTAGCTCCAATTATTCATGAATTAGGGTTAGGAAACAAAGGAATTTGAGGATCAACCTACATTAAAAAATTTTAACCTGAATTTAATTTTGACCTGTAACATAGCCACTTAAGGCTTTTTTCACTTACAGAGTCGCAAGAATCTGGACATCACTTTTTTGTTTTTCATTTTTGCTTATTTCTCTGTTTGCTAATGATCCAGTGAAAACCAGATTGTTGGCAGTGAAAACAGAAGCAGAAGAATAAACTAATCGAAATGCTTGTTACCATGAGATGTGATTGGTTTATTAGTCCTTCTGCTTCCGCTGTTTTGCCAATGAAGTGTACCAAGATATGAAATAAGTGTGAAATATATTATGATAATAGAGAACTTAAGAACCACGATGAAGTTCACGACCACCATGTCTCTTGGCTGGGAAAAGACTGGAACGAGAACGTCAGTTTGGGCGGGAAAAAGGAAACTTAAGATGCAGTCGATCGGTAGGTTGACAACGACGACGACGCTGAATGTAAACACAAATGTAAAACTGTGATGTTCGTTCGCAACAAAGTTTTTTGCAATAGCATCTTTTAAAACAATGCAAGATCTCATTTGTTTAAGCCGTACGTCTAATTTCATTGACCATGAAAAATTTTTTGTGTTGTCTGACCTTTTCGAGTGGAAAAACCTGCTTTCCGTACGAAGATTATTCAACTTCAACTGAATGAGATGACCAAGTCCGAGTGTCTGTCAGAGTTTAGAATTGGCAAAAGAGAAATGCTGATGTGAAAGTTATTTTCCATATAAAGTTTATTTCCTCGATATTAAACATATATGATTTGACTTAAAATAAACTAAACTTATCACTTATGAGCTCGCTCTCTGGGCCCCCACAGCTGTTGTCATTCTTCGAAGTAAAAACAATTCATTAGTCGAATTTTCAATCAACACCGCTTGATAGGAGAAAAAGGAACAATACCTTGATCTACGAGGATGAGAAAATGCAAAGAACTTCAAAAATCGCTTAAAACAGTGGACTTATACCTGCCGAAGCTTGTGGATTGCAGGATGACGTGATTCTACTTTGTTTGGTGTCATCGACAACACCACAACGACGAAATTTACTTGTCACGCTTGCGCAGTACACTGTAACTCACTTCCGGTCGTCGTTGACAAAGTCGTGGTGGTGGTTCTTAAGTTCCCTAATATTATGATATCTCTCATAAGCTTTGTATAGTTTCTGTTACGACTCCTGCACCACTTCTCTTTTTCCACTTATCTTTTATTTTTTGTATTTCTGTTATTGTGTGGCAAGTAAATAAAATAAAATATCAAAGTTTAATTTCAAGATACACCATCTCTTACCTCACTATATGATAAACAATATTACATTTTTATACAGATTTCTTATTACACTTAGTTGTCCTATAATGCTGACAGCCAGCTGTTTACAAAATGAAGGCTGTTTATAACTCTTAACTGGCAATACCTAGTTCTATCATTTTATGTTGCTTCAATTTCTGTCTCCTTTCTTCCTATAGATGAAAGAATTGGAAGAAGAATGGGCAAAACTTCCACCTGCCCCACCTGCTCCCTCCAGATTTACAAGAAGCCAGCAGGCAAAAATGGCAGAAGGAGCAGCAACTGCACCAGCTGCTGGTGGGGGAGGGGATGAGTCAGCTACAGACGGAGGTAAGTGAACTTACTTGGCTGCAGCTGGTTGGCTCAGTTGGGAGAGTGCCGGTCTGCTGAGCAGGAGGTTTCGAGTTCACACCCTGACCGGACGAACACTCAGTGTCTTTAAATAAGTGAGAAGAAAGTGCTGCCTTTGTAATGACATCTGCATTTCTCATCTTCATGGATAAGGATGAAACACTACAGGTCCTGTCTCACAGCCCTTTCACTTCTCTGGTTCTTGTAAGACATAAAAGAACCCACGACACCTTGCAAAAAGAGTGGGGGATGTAGCATAGAAGACGTAGACCCCGGTGGTGTGACCAACCTTTCCTGGGCTGGGTGGGTTATCTGTGAGGGGAGATCTTAATATAGGGATAACCTAATGACCCTCCTTGAGGTGTCATAATGACTACCGGTAAACAGTGCATGTATGTATTGTAACTTCAATTCTTGCTTCCTGATGATGTCATGTTTGATACCGGGTACATAGAATTTAGAATTCTTGATTTGTGTTTGCAGGAGTTAGTGCTGCTGAACCAGAGGCTATTGATCCATATGAGCTTATTGAAGCAGTCGAGATTCTCTCTAAACTTCCCAAGGACTTCTATGAAAACTTGGTAAGTGATGCTGCTGAAAGAGAACTACAGTGGAACCTCTCCTTTTGTCTACAATCGGCGACAAAATGAGTTGAAACACTTCGCCCGAAACTGCGTTTTTACATTTTACTAACTTCAAAAGGAGGAAATATAGCTTTTCTTCCCCCATCCCCTCCATACAATGTTGTGCCAATGTTCGAGCTACCTATAGAAAACAATAAACACCCCAACTTTGAATGGAGGGGACAGGGGAGGGGTACGGATTCTTTTGTTCTCCAAAGTTACCCTATTTGAGTAGAATGTAGCTGCTTGCAACTATGACTGAGGCAGATTCCGAGGCAGAATAAAAGAAAAATATTTTATTTGTTGGTTAATTATTAACAAAACCCAGCTCAACTTCCACTAAGGGGACACTTGCCTTGATCCCAAGGGAGTTCCCTGAACAGAGGTTCCACTGTAATTTTAGTTTTAATTTTTTGCAGTAGTCACCTTATAAATGGAGGTAATGAGAAACCCCGAGTTGTCTAAGGGTAGACCCTCTTTTACCTCGATCCTTAAGTACCAGTTAGGGTTTTTATTGGAGCAGGGTTGAATCAGTGAAAATGGAGGGCTATGGGTGTTTACCATTAATACAAACCATCCAGGTGTAAATCTTGTGCATAAACTGAACAGTCTCAGAAGAGTAGAAAAATTGCATCCCATCAAATCATTGCCCATGTTTTTTGAAGCTCCCCAAACAGAATGGCACGAACCATTTGATTTTCCACAGGCAATTTCTTGATTTTCCATGTTTAAGGGAAGTACCTGAGGAGTAACTTAGAAGTACATTGGGTGTACATGTAAATAAGAGAAATTCAGGGGTGGTGCAGGGGATGAAGCCTGGGTGACACAGGGGTAAAGGTGAAGTGAAAAGGGTTGGGGTAGGAGGGGAAAGGAGGGGGTGGATCCCCTCAGGGTAAAGTACAGGTTAAGTGGGGATGTACAAGTAAAGTGGTGGTATAAGTCTGATCTACAATAACACTATGTTTGGAAGCTGAAAACTTTTTTCATGATTAAATTTCCAGGAGAACAAAAAATGGCAGCTAAGAAAGGAAGCACTTGAAGCACTTGAGAAACTTGTTTCAAACCCAAAACTGGAAGGTGGCCAGTATGGTGAGCTCATGGGGGCACTGAAGAAAGTAGGTATTGTAACATGGTATTCCTTATGCCTGTTATTGTAACCATTGCCACAGCCTTAAAGAAAAATGACTTTAAACATGTTTTGCCAGACTGAAGACAGGTTATCGTTTCAATGCATTTCAAGATGTTAAGGAAGCCAGCTTCTTTATCACTAAAGGCCGTGTTACTACATTTAGTTGACCAAAGACTTAGAGTTGCATGTTATACTTATGCTTAGCTAATTAATATGCAGTGCTAAATAAGCTGGTATGGAGAGTTACTTTTTTTTCCTCTTTGCATGATGGATTTAGAAATGTAGGCTGACCTTGTTTTCCCTGCTTTGTTTGCAGATAATTTCAAAGGATGCGAATGTCATGGTTGTAGCCTTAGCGGCCAAGTGTGTGGGTCTATTAGCTACGGGACTGCGCAAAAAGTTTTCACAGTATTCATCAATGATTATCCCTCCCATATTAGAGAAGTTTAAGGAAAAGAAAGCAAATGTTGTGTCTGCTTTAAGAGAAGCCATAGATGCTGTCTTCCTCACAGTAAGAATTTTGCATCCTCTGTATCTCATTAGCATGCCTGTAAGAAATAGAAGGTTCTTGTACCTGTTCTGGCCAGTTTTATTTGCCAGTATTTGGAGTGTGAATCACAGCTGGTTAAAGAATAATTATAGAGACTTTTAGAGTGGACTGCTGGTCACAAGGTGACATAACCAGCTTTAAATTCTTAAGTCAAACTCACACTTCATACATGTACTTGTGTTCCAAGCTTATTAAATTTAAGTCCCTTACATCTTATTTTGTTGAAAATTTCATGGCTAAAACCAGTTTCTTTAATTTACAATCTTTTCTTTGAAAATCTTAAGGTGTAATTATTTTATTATTTTGTTTTTGTTATACATTAGACTAATATGTCTGCAATGCAAGAAGACTTGTTGGCATCTCTTGAAAGCAAGAACCCATCAGTGAAAGAGGAGACTGTCAGATTTCTGACTCGTTGCTTCTGCAAAAGCACACCTGCAGCTCTGCCCAAGACTTTCCTGAAGCCAGTTTGTAGCAGTCTTCTTAAGGTGATACCTTATGAAACTGAGCCATTCATTACTTTTGTGGTTTTCACGAGTGCGACAGCCACAACCATGGACATATGTCCAAGTATAAAACTTGAGTCCTTCATGTGGGGGCAAATATTTTTTCTGATGCTTGTGCTTTTTTATTCTTTTATTGCCAAATAGAACCAAGCCTTGCTATCATGGTTTTAATTCAGGTTCCATTTTTTGTTTCAATCTCAAAGGGGACAATGACATCTAATTCACTGGCTGTTAACCAAATGAATTTGAAAAGGCTCTGACTTGTGCCTTATATGTCTGACGATGATAGTCATGTTTATCATTTGTCTCATTATGGTCACTATGTCTTTGCTTGAGAGGTGGATAGCACTATCAGGGCTGTCACTAAGATTTCAAGTTGCCGGGTAAATACAACAAGTAGGAGGGACTCAAACAGCTAGAGATTTCTTTTGATTCTATTTTCCTATGAAAGTAGCTGGGGGCCACGTTCGTAGTAGCTGGGGGAAATCTCCGGCCCCCGCCTCTTAATGACAACCCTGCACTATCCACTGGATAAATTCCCATCCAAAGGATAGCCCTTATCTGTTTTTGTAATACTTATCCTCTGGATAGCGATTTATCTGGTGGATAGCACTATCCAACTTTTGAACAGCCAGGACCTGGTCTTTTTCAGGTAATGACTCCGTAATTTACTAAGTGGGACCATTAGTAAATCACCACCTTCATCACCTGATGAAGACCAGCAGTAAACCACAGAAACGTTGTGATTGAAGTGACTTTTGTGAGACAAACAATAAACAAACTGATTGTACTCATGTGAAAATGAATAACATCTTTCATTACATGTCTAAAGATGTGTTGGAAAGAAAACTGGTGAGCTTGGCTCTGTTTGCTTAGCTTTGAACACAACCCATTTGATGACATGCCTTGTACTAAACAACAAAGAAAGTTAACAGCAAAGAATAGCTAGGCAGATTTTTGAACTTAAACTACCACCCATGTTGTTGTAGTTGTCACATCAATATTAGCAAGGAGTTGTCTCAAGGAGTTTCCTGTATCAAAAGCTGTGTGAAGGTTTTGACATTATTGGTTTTATCTTGTAGAGAATGGATGACACATTTGGACCAGTAAGAGATGCCACTGCAGAAGCATTAGGTACTCTGCTGAAGGTTATGGGCGAAAGACCATTAAACCCATACATTGAACAACTTGACAAAATCAAGATGGACAAGGTAATGTTCTGATTGCCTCCTGTATTTTATGTTATATGCAATAGAAAACATTTTCCATGGTTGCATAGCTTGATATAAGCACAAGATAGAGTGTGTTGGGGGAATTCAACACAGTTATCCAAACCTGAGATGAAGTCAAGGGCTTGCATAACTATTGAGAATTCTCCCAACCCCTCGAGTGTTTATGGTTATGTTAGTGACATATTTCGGAGTTCTACTAAAGCATAGTCCTGTGCTACTCTCCTCAGTGGGGGGTGTTGCACAAGAAATTATCCTGTCATGAGAAAACAGCTGACATTTTGTGATTCCAACTCTGGTTTTCTATGAAACCAACCAGTCAGAAGCACAACCCAGATCTGGGTAGTGATGCATCACCAGTATAAAATTTTTGCATTTGCATCTAAGATGTAATTTTGCAGGAAAACTAGTGGTGGCATTGCAAAGTGTTGGCTGTTTGCTCAGGCTTAAATAATCCAGGCTAAATAGGATTGAAAGGGCTTAGCAGTGGACTCGAAATTTACTCTCAGGTGAAAGAGTGTGCTGAGAAGGCTGAGATAAGTGGCAAACCTGCTGCTGGTGCAAGTGCAGCTGCCAAACCAGCTGCTCCTGCTAAAACAAGCACAGATGGAGGCAAGAAATCAGAGGCACCTGCTAAGAAACCAGCACAGAAACAAGCTAAACCTGCTGCTGAGTCAGCCAAACCAGCATCTTCAGGAGGAGTATGTTTTCTTTTTTTATTATTTGTTGTGTTATGGACTGTATTTGGTTGAATGTGAAACAGCCTACAAGTGTGAACGGAAATAAGCTATAATAAGAGCTAACATCAAATTTAATTCTGTACCACATACTTGTACATTATATCTCAGAAGTCTTTTATTAATTTTAGACGCACATCATATAATAAATAACATTATAATAACTTGAAAGAGGTTCCAACTTCGATGCTTTGACTGAGAAAATTTTGGTGTTGTAAAAAAGGTGGTTTGACTGTATGGACTTCAAATTTAACAGTTTTGTTAATAGAAGTTAAGGCTAACATAATTATTACTGTTGATTACAGGTCTTGAGTGTTTGTAGTTGTAATAGTAATTTTCTTTTAATATGATGACTTTCTTAGCCCCCCAAAAAGAAGGCAGGCTCATCTGGTGGAGGAAAAGCAGGAGCTAAAGGAAAGAAGGCATCATCTGTGAGTGGTTTTGACAGTGAAGAACCTACTGAGCCAGAAATGTCGGTAAGAAACTTGTGCACTTTGCATGGTAATTTTTTAAATGTCTGAAAAATGTTACAGTGATAACTTTGTCATTATTTAAAAATATGGTGTTCTGAGAAGACTAAAGTGAGTTCCAGGGGATAAGTATGTTGGGTGAAGGTTCCACAATGTTGTGTTAATAATGAATAGATTAATTGATCACTCAATAAGCAAGTAAATAATGAGAAATTGAAAAAAAAAAACAAAAAAAAAAAAACACCACCTTAACAGTATGCCACGCCATATTCCATAGGGTCATAAAATGAATAAAATCTCTCAGACATTTTAACTATTGTCGACCACATCATTGATTCATTGTAGCCAGAAGAAGTGGATGCTAAAGCTGCAGAGATTATTTCGGAGACTGTGCTCAAGCAACTAGCGGACACTAACTGGAAAGAAAGGCTGGCTGGTATAGAAGCTTTAAGTGATGTAAGTACATGTATGTGTGATTGGCAAACAGCAGTTTGAATGTGAGTCATACAGATTAAATTTGATCATGTAGATTGCATTTATTTTGTATCATCTTCTTGATTGATACATTGTGTCAGCTACTGTGTACTTACAGTGTAAGTGGCTCACTGCTCCTAAAATAATCTGCAATTGTTGTAAGAATTCATGGAGCTGAAACCAACAAAGTCATAGCCATATTTCTTGTTTGTAAACATTGGTTTTGTTATTTAAATGTGCTTACAACTGAGGCAAAAGAACCCATTGTTTCAAGAGCTAATGAGCCTGTGGTTGGCACATTAATATCATTACGTGACCTAACTTACTGCAGGGGTCGAACTCAGAAAACCATGAACACCTGAAATTTTTCAGGAATGTTGATTGTGTACTGGCCAATTGCAATAAAGTTCAGGATATGCAAACTAACCTCAAAACCATTGCTGTTTGCGGTTTAGTTATCTTGTGGCTTATTGGCTAATTTCCTGCAACACAACAACATTTCATAAATATTTCTGGTGTTCACAGTTTTGTGAGTTTCACAGTAAAATATTGCTATTGCACACATTTTGGGTATCCTTCCTACTGATGAACAGTTACTCTGTTTAGTTTTGCAGGAGCATTAACATTGTTATCTAATTCTGTCCCCTTTGAATACCTTGAATAGTCTTTACAGGAACTGTTCACAGCTGTTCATCTTAAGGGTTATGCCAAAATTAGCCCCTTCCTTTTTATCATTTAGTGTACAGTTTGCTGTTTTCTGTTACCTCTTACCTGGAACAAATGAAGATGCCAATGTAACAGAGGTAGTTTTTTGTCACATAGTTGAGATGCTGAATGTTATTTTTTCTTTCAGCTTGTTAAAGGAATGGATCCTAAGGCTTCCTCACAAGTCCTGATCAGAGTTCTAGCAAAGAAACCAGGCTGGAAAGACACTAACTTCCAGGTAAAATGAATTTAGAGTTATTAGAGTGGTTCTAAGTCTACAAAAGAAATCTGCAGGGGATGGACTTGTTGTTCATGAAGGGGCTAAAATTGCAGATAATGTTATCACTTTATAGGATGTTCAGGACTAATTACTAGTATTTTTCCCATCCAAGTATCGTCTAGGGCTGTGGGTAACACAATAAAACAATGCAATTTACACCTCCAGACCTGATCGTACATGACAATTGAAATCACCTTTAGAATGTGGTGTCTTTTAAGCACTAGCCCAGAATGGTTGTCTTTAGGGATTCAATCTCAATATTCTGATAAAAGTCTTGAAAAGTTCTTGAAATTCACTACCTTGTTTACATCAGGATTGTCAGAAAGTGTTCAAGTAGACGGCTGAGTTGTCAAAGTAAGCGACCAATCCAGGGATATTTTATTTAAAAAACGGCATCCATAAAGAAATGCTAAGCAAAGTGGCCGGCCCATACTAACCAATTAGGTGGTGATTTTTGGCGGCAGCGGCCCACTTTTGAGAACCCTGTGATGTCCAACAAAGCTTCTGTAAAATTAGATTTTTTTGCCAAGGAGATGTTGGCTCATCCTCAGTGTAAGAACCTGTAAAACTCACGGGTAATGTAACAACATTTTTGTGCTTCATTACTAGGAATGCTATTTCTGAACCTCAGATGCAATTGCTAGTCATTTTTGTTATCAACCATGGCGGAAGAAATAAAAATCGTAAATGACTCCATGACATGTTTTAGCCATTCATGAGGTGTTTAAAAGGGGGTTAAGGAATGTCGATTTATTGAATAATTCACAGTCCTTGAAAACTGTAGTTTGTCCTTGAAAATTCCTTGAAATTTGTATGTCTGAGGTTGTGTGGACCATGATTTGTCTTTGAAGACATAATGTTGACAATAACCAGGATCTGAGTAGTTTCTCATTTTAAAATATTTGTCAGGTTCTGAAAGCCAAGTTTGCATTATGTCAGTATATTGCACGGAACATGAAGTCCTTTTCAAAACGCAGTGCTTTTTATGCTCTTGATGGATTGGTTGACAAAATTGGGGATATCAAGGTAAGAAATCTGTTTACTATAGCTAACCTAACATTAACCCACCGTCATTTGATAAGCTTACAAATCTGGCTCCTTGTAAGTTTGAAGGAAGTGCCTTACAGTCAAACCAGGTCAACCGTTCCTGTCGCTAACGAACTAATGAATTCATTCACGGAAAAATGATTTCGTTTGTTGATTCAATAATCCATTCATAAAATGAACAATCCAATAGTCATATTTAGCCTCGATTCCATAATCGAATGTTGATTTGATTACTGTTTTTTGAAAATTACACTTTCCACAAGTTGACCTCAGAATTTTGTTTTTTCCTCTTTTTTTTCTGAGAGTCGAGTGCTGGCGAGTTCTGAAGTTCAAACCCAAACAAACTGTTACATGTACGCCAGTTTGCTGCCAATCAGTGCAACAGACCTAGGCCTGACCTCTTAGAAAACACGACGGTCAAACTGAGGTCAGTGTATGTGCGGTGATTGGTGGATTTCGATCCTCGGCCTTTGTCAGTTTCTTTGTGTTTGCGGTCTGTCTATTCTAGCTGTTATTTTGATTAAAGGCAATGAAAAACGCAATCATAAACGGCAGGAAAAGGGAAGCAAATACGATTGGACACAACAGACAAGAATAAAGAACAGGTAGATTTTGTTCATAAACCAAATCAACATTTGATTATTGAATCGAGGTACAATTTGACCGTTGGATTATTCATTTTATGAATGGATTATTGAATCAACAAACAAAATCATTTTTCCATTAATGAATTCATTAGTTTGTTAGCGACGGGAACGCTTGACCTGGTTTGACTGTAACAGTCTAGGTATGACAGAGAAGCATACAGGAACCAAGACAAGAACTTTACTTTTATGCCCCACACAGACAAAAAGAGAGGAAAAGTGACAATACTACTTATGTTAGGTATAAAGCCACCTAAAAATTAGAGGTAATTAAGTTAGGAGGTATTATGATGACTGGCAACAGGAACCATCACTGAAAATAAGTACATTGGAAAGACTTACATGTAAGGTTACCTGATGTGATTTGTACCTCCCTAGATAAATTACTGTTGGGGGTTTTATGGTGGGGCCACAGCTGCAAATGACAGTGAGTCATTCATCAGGAAGTGTCCAAATAAAATTGGCACATGTCTGTTGAAATCCTGCCTGCCATTTGGCATGATGACCAGACAGATCAAACACCGAAGATTTCAATTTTGCATTTAAAGACTTGCATACTCCTTAAAGGAATGAAAAGTCAACTTCATGTACTTCTCTGAAAAGGCTGCTTGGTCAGATATACCTCCTTTCTGAAAACAACAATTTATTATTTACAGGCTTGTGGGGCTAGAGAATTTGCTTGAAAGAGCAGTGATCTAGAAGCAGAGCTACGTGAGCAAAAAGCAATATGTAATCTAGCCCAGCAATCCTAAGAGTTGCCCCTCAGTCACATGCAGGAGCAAGTGGACGCACAGTGGAAAAAATGTGTCTCCACGTTCAATGTACCATAGCTGTCAAATAAGAAATCTAAGATTTTAGATTTGTCATGTAGTACTAAAAAGTTATCTTCAAGTATGATTTAAGAACCAGTACCTGGAAATCTCGAAGGAGAGATGATGTAGGCGATATACAGCTGTAGTGTCTAACACTTGTTTGACAATCTTTAAAATGTTTGTTTGTCTTCTTAAACAGTTAAAAGATGTAAGCAAGGAGGCACTGACTACATTTGCAGAAATGATATCACTAAACTACATTAGTTTAAAGGTGGGTGTGTTACAATGGACTCATGGAACCAGTTTTTTTAGATTTGCTTTTGCCTTCTTATCGTTTGGTTGGATGAGAAAATATATTGTCAAATTGTCTCTCTCCAAGGCATCTTGATGTTAAAAAAAGTTGCCACCTTTGCAACCCCAGAGAATTGATCCATGAAGAAATGAAAATGGTTAGCAATTTGTTCTCTGAATTGTAGTAAAATGGTAGAAACTTTATTCTTTCTCATTTGCAACGTGATGCTCTCAGTAAAAGCTTCTGTATGGCAAGCTATGGACAACATTTCCCAGCATTGTGTTCTGTAGTGAAAAAGTTGAATATGAATACTTCTCTAAGAGATGAGTTTGCACAATACAAAGTGCACCTATAAAAATGTGCCAGTTAACCAGTAACCACAGCATAGACCTTTTCGCTGTTTTTTCAACTTTTTACATAGCAAGTGAAAGGGAAAACCCGTTGACACCACTTGAAAGAGCTTCTTAAAATTAGTACAATCGGCAAGTTTGAAAGTGACACGTCTTAAGTAAGCAAAGATGTAGCTCCTCAAAGTTGTGGAAATTTGCAGATGTTTGTGCCCCCCGCTTACATAAAGGCACTCTTTCCAGCAAAATTGATGGATTTTCCCGAACTTGTCCATGTCAAAAGTTGAAAAAAAAAATGTGCAAAGGTCTATTACATATGTGATGTGTGACATTTTTGATGGTGTCTTTCTTTAGATTTCAAAACATGCAGGCTCTCAGAAGAATCCCAAGGTTCTGGCTGAGTCTCTCAATTGGCTTTCAGATGCTATCAAAGGATTTGGATTCAAGTATAAGTCTATGATTTTCTTATTTTCTTACCTGCAATGAACTGCTGATGCTTACCAGAAAGAAACAGCAGTTGTCCACATTGCATGTTAAAACATTGCATAATTATAGGTCTCAAGAGAGAGCATATGTTTCAGTTCTTGTCATGTCCTCTGTGAAATTGTGATTTTATTGGCTCGCTATGTCATAGAAGCATGAAATGTAACCAGTTTTGTCGCAGAAAATGGAGCATGATTTCTTGCATCAAAGAAAAAATATTCAATGCACAAGGTGACATTTATTTATCAGATGAAACAAGTCACCCTTCATGTTCATGTCAAATAGCATGCCGATGACTTGCGTTAAATGGAGTATGGCTTTGTGCACCAAGCAAAATAATTTTTTATGACGCAACAGGTGACACTTCACCTTAATCTTATGTAGCACGGTGATGACCACAATAACCCCCTTTTCGGATAACTTGCTTTTGACTAGAAAAAAATAAATTGGCATAATGACTAGCAACGAATTAACTGTTTTAGACTATCCTTGTTTACGAACTGAATCGTGCAGTACAGTGGAACCCCAATATAACGGTATGTCAAGGGAGCAGTAAAATTATCTTATATTGAAACTCCCGATATAACTATATGGCTGTGAAGTAACGGAAAAAATCATTATATCTTGGTAAACTTAAGAGAATTAAATGGCAAGGGGGATAAAAAGTATAAAGTCGATAAAGAGGCTTAAAACACTATATCATTTTCCTATATCATCGTACAAAGCTGTTGACAGAAACGTTAGAGGTTACTTGATTACTGTAATGTTATTTTATTAAATTCATTGTGTTGCTTAAAATGTGACTGTACTGATAATATTGTCATATTGGGAAGGATTTCGGTCCGCTAAATTCCCATTATTTATCGAGAATATTGTTATGTTGATTGTCGCTCTATCGGGTTTCTGTCCCATACATTTTACTGTAACTTTTTCCCGGACTTTTGGATATACATCGTCATACCAGGAATATTGTTATATCGAGGATCGTTATATGGGGGTTCCTCTGTATCCTTTCAGAATTATGGCCTTTTTTACTTACAAACATTATGGCCATGACATGACTGCATAGTGTTTCATAGTCATTTTGTAATTGATTGCAACATTTCGGCTGCATACTGCTGGTCTTCATCAGACGTTGGTGTCAATCAGCAATTCAACACCACAGTTGATGAAGACAACCAGTATGCAGTCAAACTGAGTGAAAAACCTTGAGTGAGCCTTATTATAGCTTGTATGTGTCTTTAAGTGCCCCTGCTGTGTAATAGGTATATTGATCTGTAGACATTTTGTGGATTATTAAGAAAATGAGCCTCCCGTCTAAGTCTGTATTCTAGTGAAATGATGTATCTGGAAGAAGTAAACCACACTAAAACTTAGTTTCCCATTGCTGATACTGCAGTTGTATTACCTTTAATTTAAACATTTGTTTTTATTTTCTTTTAGAATTGACCTCAAGCCTCACATTACCTACATAAAGGAAGCATTAACAAATACAAATCCAGTAAGGACAAAATAGACATGCTTATCTTACTTGCAGTTACTCTAGTCTTGTCATTTAATAGGAAAGTTATGGTTGGAGTCAAGCTTTTTATTTGCTGGATGGAGAAAAACAGTAATAAGGAGCATTCTGTCATTATCCCATCCAATTAAATTAGCTACAGTGCTGTATATCCCAGCCTTGGACTGCGGAAATGAAATAGCCTTGTCACTTCACTTTATCTTGATGTAACAAACACATAGTTTCATCAAAAAATGGGTGAAAAGTAATTAGACATGCTTTTATGTATCCTTTGCACTGGGCTTACACTTGATATATTTATAAGGCTGTCAGAACTGCTGCCATTTCATTGCTTGGAACTATGTACATGTATGTGGGAGCAACTTTAAGAGTGTTCTTCGAGGAAGAAAAGTCTGCACTGCTGCAACAAATTGATTCTGAGTTTGAAAAGGTGGGTATAATGTGTACTAGATGACTGAAGTTCAAGGGCACTTTCCAAGTCAGAACTGGCCAGCCGGACCAGTCATTTTCACAATGAAATAGACTTTTTAAAAGAGATTTTTTTGAAAAACCATCTCCTTCGTGAATACTATTTAGGATTTGAATGATCTGGGCCCGGTTCCTGAAAGGCCGATTAGTGCTAATCCAGGGTTAAGATTTTGTTCCACTTTTTGTATTTACCTCCCTATGCATTTCTTAGAGAAACATTTTGTGTAAATCATTACTGTGTCTCAGAGGAAAAGCTCAACAGTATTTTGTAAGCTTGAGTTACATTCTCTTAGTAAGAAAACCTTGCTTAAAATTTCGCTTCATCCTGGGTTAAACTTAACCATCTTTTCAGGAACCGGGCCCAGGCTGGATATTCCTCATTAAAAGTGATATTATGATGAGAATGGTCTGTCTCGTCAGTTCTGACAAATGGAAAGTGCTCTAACTTAATATTACATTTAATGCTATGGACACATTTTTACATTTATTTTTATGGACACATCCAGGTGAAGTGTTTCTTTTTGCAAAGTCCATTTTCTTTGGAGCATAATGCTGCAGCTGGTACCTCAGGCAGCCCAAACTCTGTGGAAGTTTGTTGGGACTTTGAATATATAAGAGAATGTATGAAAATAAACAAAATACGTTCTAAATTCCATTTTTTTAAAAAAATAGAGATAAAAATGACACCTTGTGTTTTTGTTTTGTTTTTTACGGTCTCTTCACTTCTTGAGCCTTTTGGAAGCAGTTTTATGCACGTTTAAGATTTTGAGTTGTACTAACAATAAGAAATAAGGGAAGGCTGGGGACTCTGAAGCCGAACGTTCCAGCTCGAAGCTCCATAAATCCCATAAAAATGGTCCAAACTCGCCAAAATTGCCGTCAGATTGCATTCTATGCTTCTTGAGTCTCAGATTTCACCAAAACGGTTTGCGAAGTGCTAGATAAAAATATTATATATATTTAAATATATGCATACAAAAAATCTATGTTAAAATACTACATTATAAGCTAAAAGCTAGTTTAAAATAATGAGTTTTTAACCGTGCCATAAAAGCTTTGAGACTGCCCAAAGCTCTCAACTTGTCTGGAGGGGCATTCCACAGGGTCGGCGAGGCTGCAAGAATGCCTTGTCTCCTGTTGTCTTCTTGGTCTTGTTGTGTAGATCAAGCAGTAAGCAGTAATTCTCTTATTATATTCTGCCAAGACAGAATATAAGTCATAACTCATAACTTAAGTGTGATCTACATAAAGAGTTTTTGGTTTTATGCAATAATTAACTCTCAATTTAAGACAAGTGTACTGAAAATGTAGAGAAGTTGGTGGAGCAAACTGTACTTTTCAAGCCTTAAAGTCCTGTTAGAATGGAATTGGAATGTGCATTTTTTGTATAATCTGTGAAATTACATTCCTGGTAGGTGTTCCTTGAAAATCAAATGTGGTCCTTGAAAAGTTCATGAAAAGTCCTAAAAAATGACTGCAATTTTTTGTTTGAACCCTGTAATCTTTTAAGTTTATGTCGAGTCATGTGGAAGTGTAGTTTTTGTCCTAAAAATTTCCGTTGATCATTTGGTGGCAGTGAATTGAAGTCAAGATTATGATTTTTACAGAATTAAGCATACAAATTGCCTTACAATAGGGTGATCAAGCTCCTTTAATTCTCTTATTATACATTTTATTTAGTGTCCAGTTCCCTTTTCTTCAAATTTGTCGTGCTTGTATTTTACACACTTTCTAGGTAAAGGGAGAGAAGCCCCCAGCACCAACCCTTGGTGTGGCACCAAAGGGAGGAGATGGTGGTGATGAAGAAGATGGTGCAGAGGAGGGTGGGGGAGGGGGTGAGGATAATGCTACCCCAGCTGTCAACTTAGCTGATCTTGTTCCTAGGAATGATATAAGGTACGGTTGTACACTTGTTTGTCTAACCACAGCATGAATCAAAGTGCAAACAACACCAACATCTTTTTGTTTTGTTATTTTGTTTGAATGCTAAAATCTGGTCACAGTTGATAAGAGGGCTCACCATCATTACGGGCCACGGCAGGAATTTTGCCTACCATTTAGAAAATGTAAAGATGTGAGCTACGTAATCAAGACACAATAGACCATAGTCAAAGCATGAGAAAATCTATTGAATCCCTCACCACTTGTCCCATTTTCCCAATCTACACTGGTCAATGGGAACCAAGTTCCACCAAACTGCACCCAGTTCAACAAAACTGCACCAAGTTTCACCACAATGCACCAAACTGCACCAAGTTGCACCAAATTCCACCAAGTTGCGCCAGAATGCACAAGGTGGCACCAAACTGCACCAAGTTCCACCAATGTGCACGAAGTTGCAACAAACTGCACCAAGTTGCAGCAATCTGCACCAAGTTCCACCAAACTGCACCAAGTTCCACCAAACTGCACCAAGTTGCACCAGTCTGCACAAGGTTGACACAAACTGCACCAAGTTGCGCCAGAATGCACAAGGTGGCACCAAACTGCACCAAGTTCCACCAATGTGCACGAAGTTGCAACAAACTGCACCAATCTGCAGCAATCTGCACCAAGTTCCACCAAACTGCACCAAGTTGCACCAAGTTGCACCAGTCTGCACAAGGTTGACACAAACTGCACCAAGTTGCACCAAACTGCACCAAGTTGCTCCAATCTGCACCAAAGTGCACCAAGTTCCACCAAACTCGACCAAGTTGCACCAAACTGAACCAAGTTGCACCAATCTGCACCAAGTTGCGTCAATCTGTACCAATCTGCACCACGTTCCACCAAACTGCACCAAGTTGCACCAATCTGAACCTAGTTGCACCAAGTTGCACCAAACTGCACCAAGTTCAACCAATATGCACGAAGTTGCACCAAACTACACCAAGTTGCACCAAACTGCAGCAATCTGCACCAAGTTGCACCAATCTGCAACAAGTTGCACCAGTCTGCAACAAGTTGCACCAGTCTGCACCAAGTTGCACCAATCTGCACCAAGTTGCACCAAACTGCACCAAGTTGCTCCAATCTGCACCAAAGTGCACCAAGTTGCACCAAACTCGACCAAGTTCCACCAATCTCCACTAAGTTGCACCAAACTGAACCAATCTGCACCAAGTTGCGTCAATCTGTACCAATCTGCACCACGTTCCACCAAACTGCACCAAGTTGCACCAATCTGAACCTAGTTGCACCAATCTGCACCAAGTTGCACCAAACTGCAGCAATCTGCACCAAGTTTCACCAATCTGCAACAAGTTGCACCAGTCTGCACCAAGTTGCACCAATCTGCACCAAAGTGCACCAAGTAGCACCAAACTACACCAAGTTGCACCAATCTGCACAAGGTTGACAAAAAGTGCACCAAGTTGCACCAATCTGCACCAAGTTGCACCAGTCTCCACCAAAGTGCACCAAGTTAAACCAGTCTCCACCAAGTTGCACCAAACTGCACCAAGTTGCTCCAATCTGCACCAAGTTGCACCAAACTGCACAACGTTGCACCAGTCTGCACCAAATTGCACCAATCTGCACCAAGTTGCACCACTTAACTGCACCAAGATGCGCAAACTGCACCAAGTTGCACCAAACTGCACAACGTTGCACCAAACTGTACCAAGTTGCACCCATTTGCTCCAAGTCGCACCAAACTGCACCAAGTTGCACCAAGTGGCACCAACTTGCACCAAACTGGACCAATCTGCACCAAAGTGAACCAAGTTGAACCAATCTGCACCAAGTTGCACCAAAGTGCACCAAGTTGCACCAATCTGCACCAAAGTGCATTAAGTTGCACCAGACTGCATCAAAATGCACCAATCTGCTCCAAACTGCACCAAGTTGCACCAAGTTGCAGCAAACTGCACCAATCTGCATCAAAGTGAACCAAGTTAAACCAATCTGCACCAAGTTGCACCAAACTGAACCAAGTTGCACCAAATTGCTCCAAAGTGCACCAAGTTGCACCAATCTGCACCAAGAAAATTGCACCAAACTGCACCAAGTTGCACCAATCTGCACCAAAGTGCACCAAGTTGCACGAAACGGCACCAAGTTGCACCAAACTGTACCAAGTTGCACCAAACTGCAGCAAGTTGGACAAATCTGCACCAAGTTGCACCAAACTACACCAATCTGCACCAAAGTGCACGAAGTTGCACCAAGTTGAACCGAAGTGCATGTACCGCCACCATTGAAATGATCCCCACCATCAAAATGATCTCGGCCACCGAAATGACCCGCAATCACCACCGAAATGATCCCCACCATCGAAATGATACCGGCGGTCACCACCAAAATGATCCCCGGAATCTCGGGAATGAAATTAAGAGGACTACAAAAACTGGACAACAATTTAGTGCGTGCTTTTTATTTATTTACATTGCATCTTTTTTACGGTGTGTAATTTACCTTTTACCGCACTTTATTTTGCAGTAAATTGTTTTTTTTTTAGGTTTAACACTAGACAATAATTGTTCAAAAGATGGAATTCACTTATGTCTTCTATTTCTTCGAATTTTTTTTTTTTTATATTTTTTCCAGAAAATCTTCTTAATAAAATTGTGTTAAAGCATGATATACCTCTTCCCTGTTCAAGGCGGATTTATGTAGTTCCTTAAAAAAATGTTAAAATTTTGAAAATAAAATCAGTGTATAGAATTGTTATCAGTCTAATTGCTTTCTCTATTTTCCTCTGTTTAGAATCGTGTTTGCATGAATAAACGAAGAATTTAGAATAGATAACAAAGTCCCAAGTCTATTTAAGCCCAGGTTCCGAGAATTTATGACGGGATCATTTTGATTGCGAATAGGTATCATTTCAGTGGTGGGGATCATTTCAGTGGTGATTGGGGGTCATTTCGGTGGCGGAGATCATTTCGATGGTGGGATCATTTTGGTGGCGGTACAGTGCACCACGTTGCACCAAAGTGCAGCAAGTTGCACCAATCTGCAGCAAGTTGCACCAATCTGCAACAAGAAAGTTGCACGAAACTGCACCAAGTTGCACCAATCTGCATTAAAGTGTACCAAGTTGCACCAAACTGTACCAAGTTGCACCCATTTGCACCAAGTGGCACCAAACTGCACCAAGTTGGACCAATCTGCACCAACTTGCAACAAACTGCACCAAGTTGCACCAATCTGCACCAAACTGCACCAAGTTGCACCAAGTTGCACCAATGTGCACGAAGTTGCACCAAAGTGCACCAAGTTGCACCAATCTACACCAAGAAAGTTGCACCAAACTGCACCAAGTTGCACTAATCTGCACCAAAGTGCACCAAGTTGCACTAAACTGCACCAAGTTGCACCAATCTTCACCAAGTTACACCAAACTGCACCAAGTTGCACCAAACTGTACCAAGTTGCACCCATTTGCGCCAAGTGACACCAAACTGTACCAAGTTGAACCAATCTGCACCAACTTGCAACAAGTTGCACCAATCTTCACCAAGTTGCACCAATCTTCACCAAGTGCACCAAACTGCACCAAGTTGCACCAAACTGTACCAAGTTGCACCCATTTGCGCCAAGTGGCACCAAACTGCAGCAAGTTACACCAGTCCGCCCAGTCTGCACCAAGCTGCAACAAACTTTGTCAATCTGCACTAAATTTCACCAAACCGCACCAAGTTACATTAAGTTGCACCAAACTGCACCTTTCTGAACCAAAATTTTTAGTGTACTCCAAACTGCACCAAGTTGTACTAAACTACACCAATGTGCACCAATATGCACGAATCTACACCAAGTTGCACCAAACGTCACCAAT